GAAATTCCAGAGAAGATTATGAAGAATTAGGATGGGGATGTTAACTTAGGGTTAAACATAAATATTATAAATATTTCTTTATTTATTTAAATATAAACATATATATTTTCGGATTGAGTTTGGGGATGGGAACTCCAATACCATCTCCTCCCCATATCCGTCGGGAATTTTTCAAGTTCGGTGATCCCCATACCCAATATCTGTTTCGCTCTGAAATCTCCCCCTGCTAGAGTTGGGGACTCGACAGGGACTCGTCCCCACGGGGATTTTTTCCATCCCTATCCAAAACCACTCCAAGTGCTTTTGGATCTCACCCAAAGCACTTTTGCAATTTTTGCCAAACACAATTTTTAAAAGACAGAAACGCTTTCACTCATTTAGAAGCATTTTTCGCTGCTCCAAAAGCACTTCCAAACTAGCTCTCATGTCATAATCCAAGTTTCAAGGTTAGGAATCATAACTGTCTGACATGATTTCATTTCCCAGAAGTCAGTTGGCAGGCTACCTAATTGGCTTTAAGAACCCATTGATCCTCAGCTTACGATGGAAAATACCCAATCGTAGACCCGTCAAACCTGCTTCATTTCAAATATTAAATAAATGCAGAAGATAAACTGCCCATCATACTAATTAGTGCCTTGATTGATGTTTAAACAATACTAAACATATTGACAAACCAACAAGTAATTTTCAGCTTGATGTGTCTGTTCACAGGTGTGATGCTCTACTTCACTTACTGGTTAACTAACGGTTTTCAATTTTAATACATAATTTTAGAAAGATTAGGGTTTGGATTGGGGGTTGAGATTCTCAGTGAAGATGGTGAAGCTGATGAGTGTATTGTACTGGGAGGGAACAAACTTGTCATGTCCATGACCTTTGGTGGATGTTTGTTGTATCATTTTATTTTATAACGGGAAAGTAGTCAAATAAAGCAGAAATATATATTCCTTTTCCTTGTTCTACCAACCAAACCAAAATTCAACCCCCCCTCTAACTGTCCTATATGTAATTTATAGGTTTTAAAAAATGTAAGAAAAAATAGCCCAAGATATGAGGGAATGACTCAATTTAGAAAGTGAACATCAAACCCTTAAAAATGGCTTGGTCCACAAGGCACGATAGATGATGGACAAATGGCTTAGTCCACTCACACTTCTTTTACTTGCCATGAAGGGAAAATGTTATGTTATCCGACAATCTCGTATATTATATTATTGCTATCAATTTAAGTGTATAGTCTAAATTGAGAGTTTGACAATGTAATACATTATGAGTGAGTGTCGATAGAGAGCAACATCCTAATCATAGATTGCTCATATCAAGTAAAGCAGAACTCAAGGCACTAGAATTCTAATGACCCTTTGAAAAGTCACAATTTTAGATGTAAAAGAAGTGTGAGTATTAGTTGCCTCTCACATGGTACTCGAGCATATAATCTCCATTTGTTTAACAGTGAGATTAGAGGGGGTATAGTGGGTGCACCAAATCCCCTTTATGGTTAGACTATTATGTCTCAAAATCCTAAGTGTCCCTGTTGACCCAAAACCTAATTTACATGGACAACGTCTCCAAAATAAAAGAATAAAAGAAATCACTACTGTTTTTCCCTTTCCCGCTTAATCCAGAAATATATAAATAGGTGCTCTCTTATGACCATCTCACTCACACAAACTACCATAAGTTCCATTCAACAAGGAGCTGAGAGAGCAATGAAGACTTCCAACTTGACTCTCAAGCCATTGTGCTCTTGCCTCCTCCTTGGCCTTCTTGCCTTCTTAGCTTTCTTCGCTTCTTTCTCAGCTGCAGAAACTCACTACCATGAATTTGTTGTATGTTTTTTTTTCATTCGCCATGCACTTCTTTTTATTGTAAGAGAGTAAAATGGACTTGGTTCAAAATTATAAGCATTTTTTCTTTAACTTTTTTTGTGTGGAATGAAATAGGTTCAAGCAAAGCCAGTGAAGAGGCTGTGCAGAACCCACAACACTATCACAGTCAATGGTCAGTTCCCAGGACCAAATTTGGAAGTCAGAAACGGAGATTCTCTTGTCATCAAAGTTACAAATGCTGCAAGATACAATGTCACCATCCACTGGTATTCATCATATACATAAACAATTTTGAGTCTTAAAATTTTGTTGTAAATTATTGTGAATATTAATGTTTGCAACTAAACAATCATCATCATAGTGCTTATAATTATAATCTTGGTCGCCAACGAGGTCTAGCCCAATAGAAAAGAGCCTTGACTTGCAGACCAGTGGTCTCATGTTCTAACCCCATGGCACCTTGACAGTGTGTGTGAGAAATCCCCCTCCCCTTGTAGTTTATTAGACCATTGCTTCTATTAAAAAGAAAAAAAATTATAATCTTGTTCCTAATTATTGTTTATGTATCCTTCAGGCATGGACTGAGGCAGCTAAGAAATCCATGGGCAGATGGACCTGAATACATCACACAGTGCCCAATTCAGCCAGGAGCCACTTACACATACCGCTTCACAATCCAAGACCAAGAAGGCACTTTGTGGTGGCATGCTCACAGCAGATGGCTTCGAGCCACTGTTTATGGAGCCCTCATAATCTACCCTAAATTGGGTTCTCCATACCCTTTCTCAATGCCCAAGAGAGAAGTTCCCTTGCTTCTTGGTAAAAACAGAGAAGAACACTTTCATTCACTTGCTGGCCTCTTTAGTTTTCTCCTCAATCATTCGTAGCTTTTTTAACAACTCTTGTATGTATATGCAGGAGAGTGGTTTGATCGAAACCCCCTCGATGTCCAGAAGCTGGCGGCTTTCACAGGAGGAGCACCCAATGCCTCTGATGCATACACCATTAATGGTCAGCCTGGTGATCTTTATAGATGCTCCAAACAAGGTTTGCTATAATGCCTCTGACGTATATTGTGTTCTTCATTTGATTGTGACATCAAGTGTGGTTTGATATAACAATTTGGATAACAATGCAGAAACCGTGAGAATTCCAGTCGACTCAGGCGAGTTGATTCTTCTAAGAATCATCAACTCTGCACTCAATCAAGAACTGTTCTTTAGCATTGCCAACCACAGATTGACTGTTGTGAGTGCTGATGCATCCTACACCAAACCTTTCACAACCAGAGTTCTTATGATGGGACCTGGCCAGACAACAGATGTTCTGCTTACTGCTGATCAGCCCCCTGCTCACTACTACGTGGCGGCACGTGTCTATCAGACTGCCCAGAATGCACCCTTCGACAACACCACCACCACTGCTATCCTTGAATACAAGTCTGCTGCTTGCAGTTCAAAGAAAGGTCAATCTCCACCACCAGCTTTGCCATTACTACCAGCCTTCAACGATACAGCTACCGCGACTGCTTTTACTGCTCAGATAAAGAGCCCTTCCCAGGTCAAAGTCCCTACGCAGATTCATGAGAACCTGTTTTTCATTGTGGGTTTAGGACTGAACAATTGCACAGTTCCTAACAACCCCCGGTGTCAAGGACCAAACAACACCCGCTTTGCAGCTAGCATGAACAATGTCTCCTTTGTGTTCCCTAGAACAAACTCCATAATGCAAGCCTACTACAATGGTGTACCCGGTGTCTTCACCACAGACTTTCCACCTGTTCCTCTTGTGCAATTCAATTATACCGGCAATGTGCCCCGGGGACTATGGACGCCTAGACGCGGAACCAAGCTCTACAAGTTGAAGTATGGCTCTAATGTTCAGATAGTGTTGCAGGACACCAGTATTGTGACAACTGAGGACCATCCTATGCATCTTCATGGGTACCATTTCTATGTGATTGGATCAGGATTTGGCAACTTCAACCCAAGGACAGATCCAGCCAAATTCAACCTCTTTGACCCACCACTGAGGAATACCATCGGAACACCTCCGGGCGGATGGGTAGCTATTCGATTTGTGGCTGACAATCCAGGTGACATTCTAATTTCATACGATAAAGCTTTCTTCTTTTATGACAAAGTAAAGATTCACTATTTTGATGTTTTCTTTTAATTGTTAATCCAAATAGGTGTCTGGCTGATGCACTGTCACCTAGATGCACATCTCGCCTTGGGCTTGGCAATGGCTTTTCTAGTTGAGAACGGAAAGGGACCGTCGCAGTCTGTGATACCTCCTCCAGCAGATCTACCCCGGTGTTAAGTTATCACCAGAACAACACACTACTAGTTGGATTTCATGATTGCAATTGCAAGATTTGCTTGTATCTTTGCATCCTCAGATTAATATGCATTGGTTAGGTTGAATTTGTCAGGTAGTTTCTATTGTGATTGCTTCTGCAGTAGCAAGTCCAGAGTTGGACAGAGCAACAACAAGCAGCTTATTTTTCATGTTATGATTGGTTTTCAAAATAATAGAAAAGGATATCATATTTGAAACATATTGCGTATCTTCTTCATTCTAGCTTTGGATGATGAGTTGATTGCTCAAAATATGAAGGAACTTCACATGAGATCAATCTAGGTTACTGTAGTGAGATGGTGCTAACTGCCCCAAAGGGATGCAGTCTAAATAAAACTGTTCTGGAGATAAACTAATGCAACTCTTGTGGTAAATTCAACACCTAACATAAGATCATAACCAAGTTCACTTATCTTCCATGGTCATCTAATAACCAAACAATAAAGAAAACCAGGAAAGACCTTGCTAAAAGGGGTAGCCATTTGTCAAAAACCTGCACATGATATGAGGAAGGAAATAGTTTTTGGTAAGGAGATGCAATTTATTGGTTGCAGGGGAGAAAACTCAATTAACCACAACTGGAAAAACATGGGTTTTCCTTCTTTCTTTTTGGGATCATTTGCTTTAACATAAAATGTTTGGGTAACTGATGGTGCACCTACTTCTCAAGGAAACTAAATCCAAAAAGAATATCGAAACAAAATTACAGTAACAACACATAGTGAATGGTAATAGAGCATATCGTAATGTGCTAGCATCTAATTTCACTAAAATTACAATTTTTTGTTGGTTCAAGCCACTCACCAATCAGGCAACAAATTTCAGACAACGAGTATCATTATGTATATTCTGGCAACGAGACGAACAAAAGCGCACCCCACACCTCACACATGTATAGTTGGCAGCAGAACCACACACAGTGCAGAAGTGGCGGCGGGAGGTAGAGCTTGGAGGTCCCACTGCTGCCTTCAGATAGGAAGGAACATGAGGAGGCAAAGAGTCGAGATTTGCCTGTTTTGGTGGGAAAAATCATGTAAAGAAAGACATCATAAATGTTATTTAAATTGTAAAAAGAATACAGGCAGCATTTTCCCTATTACCTCATGTACAAGCTCAAGGAATGTTCTTGGGGCCTTCCTGGCCTCAAGAGCTTTTGCCTGCCGAGTTTTGCGCTTGGTGCCCTTAGAGTGCTTCTTTTGTATATACACTGCAGCAGCAGTTGAAACTGTTATTTGTCTTTCCTTCAGTCCATCGAAAATTGCATAAGAAATTTCATGAATGTGTAGTTTTTAGCTCAAACAAAACTTGACTGGAAACAAAATCCCACCGAGACTACCTACAATTGCCTTTGATAGACCAATTACTGAAATAACTTCGAGAGGGAGAGAGAGAGAGAGAGAGAGAGAGAGAGAGAGAGAGAGAGAGAGAGGAATCTCTCCCATTGTTGATTCTGATTGTTGCACACAATTTTTATACCCACATTTAAACACCAAATAAGCATCACCCATCAACTAAAATCTTAATGGCCTTCAGTTCTGGATGCAAAAGCAACAGGGTCTAAAATCTCATTGCATAGGAAAAACAGACCAATAAGAAGAGAGAGGGTAAAGAATTTGAGAATTGGACCTTGGTCATCATCATCAAGAGAAGCTTCATCGTCGTCGTTAGCCTCTACCATCTCCAAACCCGCATTATCATTTTCTAAAGCTTCAAGCCGAGCAAGAGCAGCCTAAAACATCAGCCAACATAACCCATCAACTCCAATAAACTTATGCAAAGTCACATAAACAAAAACCAATATCCAAAAACAAAAAAACAAAACCTGCGTGCGGTTGTCACTACTCTGAAGAGCAGCAGTCATTTTTGAAGCAACCTTGCGAGTTCGACTCGACATTCGGCGCATTGGGTTGGAAACGTCATCGTCCATTGCTGCAAATTGATGTCAAAGGTGTCTCCTTTCGCAAATTCTGGTGATGAAAAATCTTTACAATGACTTTCAATCAAGAAAGCTTGACCAGCATGAGTAAAACTTTTGTTGGTCAGCTTAATTTGGAACTTAACGAGACTGGTTCAGCTACAATTTCCTCGCCTCGTATGAAATTAACGATTTGGGTACTCGCTCGATTCTCGAAACGTTTCAAACTAAACATAAAAAGGAACGGTATCAGCAAGACTATCGGCGAGAGAAGGGAGGTGGGTTTTGCTGCACAACAATTGAGGACATTGCAGAGAGCGGAGAAGGGGAACCGTGGAAAGGAAGTGAGATTTGGGCTTGGACTTCACTTACGATTGGAGCTCCAAACAATTTTATAGTTGGGCTTCAAAATCCACCCAAACACTTGTACCAAATACAATCGAAAACTCACTCAAATTTGATCACCGCACCCATCATCGTTTGGGCATGGTTTTTCCAATTTTGAATCTGTGTTTTATTTATTTATACATACAGACTCAAGTTGTCCACATTGTCATTTTATGTACTTGAAACATCATAAAAAATAGGGATGGCAATGGGTCGTGTCGTGTTGGGTTCGTATCGTGTCGGGATAATAAATGTGTTAAGAATGCTCAACCCGAACCCAACCCATTTAATAAACGTGTTGTGTCAGGTTCGGGTCGTCTTTTATCATGTGGGTTTCGAGTCGTGTAATGGGTTCATAAATAATAACATGCATGTTACGAAACTCACAACTGAAAAAATTTAAATTAAAAAAAAACAGAGAGCGTAGAGAAAATATAAGGAAAAGAAAGAAACAAAAAAGATAGAGAGAAGAGAGAAGAGAGAAGGAAAAGAAAGAAAAAAAATAGAGAGAGAGAGAGAGAGAGAGAGAGAAGATTGAAGGAAAGAAAGAAAGAAAAAAGAGAGATGAGAGAAAACTAAAGAGAAGGAAAAGAAAGAAAAAAAAAGGAGAGAAGAGTAAAGGAAAAGAGAGAAAGAACAAAGAACAAAAAAGAAGAGGAGAGATGGAAAAGAAAAAAAAATTATAAATATCAAAAGGCATACCATAAAATCACAAAGTTGTTTTTAGCATGGTGGATAAGATGTTTGAGAGAAATGAGGGTGGTAGGAGTTTGAAACTCCTTGTGTGTATGCTGAAGTCTCCATTTCTCTTCATTTTTTAGCGGGTTAGCGTGTATTACACGGGTTGACACAACCCGTTTTAATTGCTCTCCCAAAAAAGGTCCGAAGTTCAAGTCCTAGCATCCGTGTAATGTGTGTGAGTTTAGTATATTATTGCCTCTCTCAATAGAAAAGGCCTTTAAAAAGAACTATGCTATGTATAAATATGTCATTTGGATCTCTCCAATCTCTCTTTATAAAAAATAAAAAAAAATAGGGCAAGAGCTATGTTTTGAGTTGAAGTAGAATCACTATGTATGTATGTACACAAATTGAGTACAATATTTGTTACAATACACATGGAAGTATACATGTAATTACATGTGAAGTCTTATGGACTCCCCTAAGTTCTATTCTACATCAGCTGGTTTGAATGTCCCTATTTCTCTTTTTCATAGGCCATTTTCAAAGCTTTGATTGAGCTAGCTAGCTATGTGCACCATCTTCTGGTTTATGAGATACCAAAACCTAGTAACCTACACCATGGATTTACCACATCTTTCACCTTCTGAATAGGGTTACATGGAAACCCTCCACTTGACCGACTTGTACTATCTGCCCCTTGCCCTCTCAAAACTTGCTGTTGTACCACTAGCACAGAAGCAGTACCACCAAAATCATAAGAGGAAACAAAGTCCCCAATTATACCCAATTCATCATTTTCACTCCAATTTGATAGTCCTTCTAGAAGAACAGGATTGATCCCCTGTTTTCTCCCAACAATCCAAACATCATAGTTGTTGTTGTCATCACTCACTGCTTGAATGGCTGCTATTGTCTCTTCTCCATTCCTTACCACCACTTCTCTATAACTCACCCTCTCATTCCTCTCATTCTTAACCCAAAACCATGTCACTACCCCATCATCCATTTTCTTCTCCATCTCATCATCACCTTCAGAATTATGTGACAGGAACCGAATCACGGTTAGAGACACATTTAAATTCCCAGCCATTCTATCTGCATAACACAATGCCTCTCTAGCATCTGCCCCTCCCAAAAACAGCACAGCAAAATGTAGCACATTGTTCCTGAATGCCATGTAGGTATGCCTAACATGACCCTTGTCAACAAGAACACCGACTGAGCAAGGTGCATGGTTTAACACATTTGAATTGACAGATCTAACCCCAAGCCTCACAAGTTCTGTCAATTTCCCTCCAAGAGTGTCCAAACACTCCTTGTGAAAAGGCAATATAATAAGTGTAGCCTTCTTGACAAGAGCCAGATCACAAATGTCTTGGTACATTGTTCTATTTGGCACTATAGCTGTGAAGGGATGGATCTCAATACACTCACCTTTGCTTTCTTGGTAGTTCTTCAAGGCACTGTGGATTGTGTGGCTGACTGCATACTTTGAATCATGATCTTCTTGCTTTTCATGGTCTATCAAGACAGGAGAAGCACGGCCAACAAGGTCGATGAGGCGGAGAGTGAAGATCACGAAAGGAGTGCTTAGAGTAGGGTTCGAGATTTCAAGAAGGTTGATGAGGGCAGCTGTGCTGTCTTCATCATATATGCAGAGGAGTATGCGAAGTTCTGAGTCTTCAGGAGGTGTGTGCTGAATGGTTCTTCTTTTGTGGACCTGGTATGGCCTTGTTGGGTCATAGAGGATGCTGATAAAGGGTGTGGCTATTGCAGTCCATGAAGTGATTGCTAGCACCATCAATGTGAATCCAGGAACTTCTATTATCTGTATGTATGTATGTATGTTCATACAAAACAACCAACCAGCAAAAAATGAGTTCAGAATAAACATAAACAAATCATATTGAGCATAAAGAAGATTAAATTAGTGGAGAATCCAAACCCATTTTTTTTGCATGTAATGCTAGCTAGAGAAATCCCCCTTTTTTTTTTCAAAGTTGTAGCGTTTGATGTGTTAATTAGTAATTTGTCATAATAATTGATGTAATAAGTACACATTAACTGTCACATCATATGATCAGCTAATATAATTAAAAAAATATAATTCCTTTGGTATTTTCTTTCTTATGCTTCCTATAACTTTTTATTTACATGTACCACACCAATTAATGTTATATGTATCACATTTATCCATTCAGTTTTATGTAAATCAGATCATTTGTTTGGTTAGATTGTCAGAGAAAATAAGATAAAAAATGGATGGCATGTGGCTCTTCAACCATTTATGATATGCTAAGGACGTTACCTTTTTGTCCATCCAATGGAGGAAAACCACTATCTCCACCTGCCCTCTTAGGATCATGATGAAGCTGAGCACAACACCATCTCTGATTGGCAACTCAAAGAAGGCAGAAGTGATTAGGGTTCCAAGAAATTTGGACACATAGCCTGTCATAGTGATTGCAAACAAAGGACCCAAGCCTGACCAACCAGCAGAGCTCATGGCATTCACATCCACATAAAGCCCAACAAAAGCAAATGAAAATGGCATCAAAACTTCCAGTATAACAGTCTCACTCCTCTCCACAAGTGTTGATCCAAGTGGAGGCCCATCTGGGATTGCCAACCCTAACCAAAATGCACCGTTTGCAATGGCAATCCCAAACATGTCAGCCAAAAACCCCATGATCAAAACCCCCAACAAAATTGCCATAACATAGGCCTGGTCCACTGGTTTCCCATCCGGGGTTATCTCAACAACTCTAGACAATGCTCTTCTGATCACAAACACAGTTAAGACCACAAAAACAACCAGAGAAATTAAGTACCAAACCACAGCCAAGGCTTTGCCCTCACCTTGCTTAGCTGCCTCAAATATAACCATGACACCAACTCCCATGGCATCACTGATCACTGCTATGGACAATCCCAGCCGTCCGATCTCCGAGCTTAGAAGGTTTAGCTCTTTTAGGATGGAGTGGAGCACAGGAAACAATGGTAGAGCCAAGCCAGTGCATATGAATCCAATGGAAGAAAGTCTTGCTAGTTCTTTGTCCATGGACTTGCGCAAGCTGAATGCCACAATTGATATGAATGTGCAAGGGAGGGCCACCCCAGCAATTGCAATGTACAATTGTTTCTTGCTTGTTTTTCTCACTAGAGAAAGGTCCATTTTCACTCCGGCCAGAAAAAAATAATAGGTGAACCCCATTGCTCCAATATTTCTCACTAGAAATTGGTTATCTACCGGGAACATAATCGAGGTAAATTTCTCGCTGCGACCTAAAATCGATGGTCCAATGACCATACCACCCTAATTTAACAAAGCTAATTAAGTCAATTATAGATATAATCAAAACTATAATTCACACAAACCAATTAGGATTGAACTTATTTATATATATATATATATATATATATATATACACACACACATTATGTGTATCTTATTTGAGAGATCCCTCGATAGAAAAGGACGTATACATATATATTATGAGAAGAAGAGGAACTTACAATGACTTCTGAGACAATTCTGGGTTGTTTGAGAGGCTTGAGAAGGAAGCGGAGGACACGAGTGGTGAGGATGATGAATGAGACCTCTAACAACAAAAGTGTGAAGGGATTTTTCATAGGGTTATCACCCAAGAAGAAGCCTAAGGTGGGTATCGGTCGATAATTTCCACAGGAAATTAAAGCTGGCGGGTAAACGAAGTTGAAATCTATGGACTCGTTGCCAACTTGAGCTTTCACGGATGCTGCCGGATGAAAGCCATTGGAACTACCATCCCAACCGTGGGTCTCGGCAGCCGGGGGATGGTAAACTGGGAATTCCCTAACCATGCAAAAGAGTAGCTGAAAACCCTAACCATGCAAATGTTGCAGAGAGAGAGAGAGAGAGAGAGAGAGAGAGAGAGAGAAGGCTAAAAGGGGTATGGACATGCGTTAATAAGGGGCATGAAGTTCACTTTGTTGTTTGGTTGACCATTTTTATCATAATTTCTTTTTTGTGGGGTTGCTGATATTCCCTTTAATAGCCCAAATTCACTTTCCTAATCTTTTTTCTTTTTAACTAATCTAAAAATATAAAAATAAAAAAAAAAAAAAAAAAAAAAAAAAAAAAATAAAATGAAAATTTTCTTGCAAATTTTCTTTTGCAAAAGGTTTATGATATCAAAGTGCAACATAGGCTTAGCCAAGTTGGCTAGAGCAGATATGCACCTAAATTTGAATCTCCCTCCCCTTAAATTATATTAAAATAAAATATTGTTTGTATCATCAACAAGAACAAAATACTCGTGTTTCTTTTTAATATAGAGTTCATCTTACACTCACTCAACTCATAAAAATAAAATATATATATATATATATATATCATATTCATACAAATAGAATGTTTGAACGTTAAGCAATTGGTAAAGTTAATACAAAGTTAATCACTCGTTCAAGCCCATTGATCAATATGAAAAATTCTTTTAAATTAAGGCCCAATCCAAAAAAGAGCCTTGTCAGAGTTAGCCGGTAGCAATCCATGGCCCATTGTACAAAACCTGCTATAACTTTGTCTGGTTTTGATTTATTATGATGACTCTATTCTTCTCTTTTATGTTTCTGCATGTGAAGTCTGAAGACTGAGGAGGAAAACGAATTAATACTTGGCAGGTGTTTTGGTGAGAGTTGTCAGGGTACAAATTTATACAAGAAAATCCAGCAAGAGCTGACATTTTCAGACCATCCATCCTATTAAATTCATTTGTACTATATAGGCAATATATGCTCCAGCAATGATGTGCTCTCACAAATTCAAAACTGGAATTTGGACCACCACTCCAGTTGTTTTCTTCTTCTTTTTAATATGAATTCAAAGGAGAGGGGAAAAGGTCTTGAATTCTCCCGGCATCATAATTGTGTGTATGCGAGAGACTTTGTTTTCTCTGTAGTTTAGATTATCGCTTGTGCGGATACATCGTGAATAATCATAATTAACTACTGAATTAGAGTACTTAAATATATTTTACACGGGTCAAATTGAGAGGCCAGGCTGTGGCACAAAGCTTGGTGGTGGGGGTTCCTGTTGAAGCACATTACACTCGTATGATCTTTCTCCGAAGATGAAGATCTTATATCATAATTAGAGATCTCATATATATCATATTGCTGAACCCTAAGCAAATAACACCGTTGGAGATCAAAATATTGCAGGTAAATTGGTTCCTTTGTCGCCTAATAACCAGACACACTTTGTACCCTAAAGTTAGATCAAGCTTCTCAATACGCCGGAAACAATCCATCGCAGCCGTACACGTGGCGCGTAATGGCCAACCAGATGATTCACAGTGCATATTAAACAGAAGAATAGATCATTTACATAAATAAAAAATTGAAACCACGTATGAAACAAGTCAACTAGACCATCATCTCGTCTGCAATAGCAACAGCAACAGCAACATGAAAGCAACGAATTGCTAATTTACCCCCTTATTAATGCTTTTATTTTCTATAATTATATATAATAATAATAATAATAGAAGAAAGAAAAAGAAAGGAAAGCTTTTAATTTTAATTTTGTTGTTTTTAATGGAGGAATAGTGAGGATGGAGATAATGAGGCATGAATAGAAAAGAAAGCGACGAGACCGTGACCTGAAAGGGAAGTTGTGGAGTGGTCCACATCCGTAGGTGCTAGCCTCTCCTCCATTATTGAAAAAGCTGCTCTGCAACACGTTTCAGTTCAAACCATGAAACCCTAGCTACATCTCTCATCAGTCATCACACAACTCACAAGGCGTCAAGGCCTGCTTCTGGAGAAGACTAGGGTTTCAGAGTCACACCATTAAAAAGCTGTCAGACTCATACCCCAAAAGTGGAATCGTGGAAAATTGGAAAAAGTAGCACTTAAAAAAGAAAGATATGCAATGATTATAAATTTAAGCACATTAAAATTTTGGTCCATATCTCCAAAAGGCTAGCTTACTCTAGAGATGATGACTAGGGTTTCGATCGAATCTGCTAGCAAAATATACATGATCTGATAAGATCATGAGACAAGTATTCGTCAGAAATCAACAAAACCCAAGCTAAACAAGAATTAGAGAGATTTATAATTATGTGGAATCCATACCAAGAAAAGAAGAAAGTGAAAAGGGGAAGATGGAGATAAGGAACCACAAAATCTTGTGAACAAATCTGGTTTCATACCCTTTAGAAAGAAATAGTTATATATGTGTGTGTGTGTGTGTGTGTGTGTGTGTACCTATTTATAGTTGTTGCTTATGATGAGAGCTAAAACCCCAAAATCCTCGAAATCATTTATTCTTGGAAAAATGTCCAAAATCTCAGGATGGGAGCTAGCTATAGATAGCTAGTTTAACCTTCCATAGTAGAGAGAAATGACAACAAGTAGCTAGGAAAGACCATAAATCGCTTATCTTTGAGTGATTACAGATGAGGGAAAAAGTTAAGAACTCAGCATTGACCTTGCAACGATCCCCTGATTAATGAAATGAAATCAAAACAAACAAAACATATAGTTTCATACCCTTTATGCTCCTAGCAGGATTTTGCTGAGATTTGCAGCAGAGATAGAGGGAGATGTATAGTAAGAAGAAGCCATGAAACTCAGGATGGATAGCGCCTAAACAAATGCCTAATATAAATTAAACCATTTTGTTCCTATGGCGCTATCCCTCCTGAGCTTTACAGATTCTCCCTTACTCAATGTTCAAATCTCAAAGCCTCCCATATCCAACAAGAAAACCTAAGCAAAAACCTAAGCAAGGCCCCAGAGGCTGTATATTGAATAGAGAGAGAGAGAGAGAGAGAGAGAGAGAGAGAGAGAGAGAGAGAGTCGCTTGGTGGGGTGGTTAGAAAAGTGAGCAAAGAGGGTGTATTTATAAGAGGGAGAGGGGACCTGCGGGGCACAGAGACTCAGAGAGTTTGCCTTCTATTGGAACATGAAAGAGCTTTAGACTAAGTAAAACCATTGAGTTTGTTGTGTGGATGGACGGTTTATTTTACTTTATTTATAACTACGATTATTACTAATTATTTTATTTCTTTCTTTCTTTTTGGGTATGAAACTTTGAACATGACACTGCTTAATTGTTTATTGTTTCTTTATATGCTGCCGACTACGATACTCATCCTCAATCGACGGACGTGGGATGGACTGAGGTTCTCGTACAATGTATGTACATAAGAATCAACCTTTGTTTTCTCCACTATTGCAAACTTTCCCCAACCTAAACTTCAATTTTCTTGGCGAAGACCTAGCTAGCGTCATCGCATATATTTCTTGTTTATAGTTTCGATAAGAGTATTCGACTCACAAGGAAAGGTCTCACCTCTATTAAAGAAATGACATATTATATCATCAATTAAGATAATACAAATAGTTTTATTTTTTACAAAATCGGTCCATAAATGCATACATTGTAACAAGGAAGGAAAAGAGTTTGAGAACCCCATCATGTAATTTTAGTAGATTTCAGAAAAGTCATCACATATTCCCCTTAAATAAAAAAAAAAAAAAAAAAATGCACCTTTAAGGAGTATATGATGACTTTTTTGACCTACTAATAATAAATCCATTTGTTAAAGAATATTAACACAATATTTTCTTTTTATAAAGAGCGATAATATTTTATTGATAAGAGGAACATAAACAAGTACAAAGCCACTTTGTTATCAAATATGAATAAAACTTCTCCAATGACCAAACACAACAAGAAGTTGAATTGATATTGAGTGAATTACGCACAACCCACAAACAAATTAAAAATCTCGCATTCAGCAACCAAAAGCACGTCTACTCAAACCTACAATACAAATCAGTTGTGCAACAACAGAAATGGCAAATCCATATCGAAAGCTAAAAACCAAAACATAAATAAAACTAACAAAAGAAAACAAACTCCTAAAGAGTTCGTGAAAATTATTAGACAAACAAACTCAAAAGTATGATCACCGCTCCACATCCTCTCGGGCAACCCGAAGAGAGCTATAGCGCCATACCGACTAAACTGGAATCTAATGTAACCCGACATCTTCCCGTTATTGCAACTCCAAACACATATTGAAGGGTAACAATTAGAGCCAAATTCGTGTGTACATGGACCAAAAGACGACGGCTATCATGACAACGACATTGTTTTCACGGCTTCTGCTCTCACACCACAAAACAAAATAACAAAGGGAAAAAAGGGAAAACTTGGAGGGAAAGAGAACATAAGAGAGGAGGAGAGGGGAAGGAGGAAGGTCGTTGTCCCCTTCGGGGGGCAGCGACTAGGGTTTCTTAGGAAAATCACTTCAACATCAACTAAATGTTGCCAACTGTATTTTTATTTTTTCTTTATTTTTTCAAATCAAGTAATTTATTTATTTAAACTTTTCATCTTCTTCATTGTACCCAATTTGGCTGCCCTAATCTTCCTAACACCTCTGCCTCCAGAAAGAAACCAGGCCTTTGATTCAACAAACCCAACTCTGCAAATCAACTAATCAAGAAAACCCAAATGGCTATTTTACTAGCTATCTAGATAATCCAAATTGATCCTTCAGATATCATATTCTTGATGAGGCTTGGAATTGGCAAGAGAAGGTTTTGATTATGAACCGAAAAGGGAAATAAGAATTAAAAAGTATTTCTTTGAATTGGTGATGGTTGGAGACGTGGCAGCCGGTGCGCCGTCGGTGTTGCTGATTCTGCAGTGATGGAGTTGGGAGAGGAGGAGGAAGAGGAAGGATATGCGAATAGAGTAGACTTATTATTTTCCTATAAAGAAAAAGGCAAAACTCTTTTTTTTTCAAAATTAATTAATAAAAACATTTAATAATCTTATCCGACATGTCTTTTCCAAATAAGCTGCCACATAATGTGGTCAGTTAATGTGGTGAGTTAACTCTTAATTACCCCTCAACTTGTGAGTGGGTCAACCATTGTATCAATTGGTCAGACAAGTTGTGAGAAAATTTATACTTTTGGGAACCCCCGATTATTTAATCGTCAAAAGTAATCATCATGAGTTAATAATCCCGTTTAGAGTCTAATTAAGTCGGCCACATAAATTATGACTTTTCCAATCTCCTTTGCATTGCAGTATCGCACTCAGAACTACCAAAATGAATGACTAAACGACCCGTTTTTCCATATCCAGCAATTACCTCAAGTTTAAGTGCTTTCAACACTTTATTATTGACATTTTTTTCTTCGTCTGTTTTTTAAATTCTGATCCACCGCTATGATTATGAGGAGACATTTTTCAATACTTAGATTCTGTTTTTCTCCTTTTTTTACCCCTTTTTTCTCTCAATAGTGTTAATATTACAACCTAAACTTTATTGCTAAAAAATTACTATATTTGGTGGAGTTTGTTCCCTTGAAAAGCCTATATGGAGGATTGGAGGGGGAATTGAGAAGAGCTTTTTGCGTGGAGAAAAACTTTCATGAAACGGAGATAACACTATTTTGTTTTTTTCAACTAATAATGTTATTACACGAGTGATAACACTTTTACATGGACAAAAAAGGCACCACAATCAGGAACAATATAGACCCCAATACAAATTTGTGTCAAAAATAAAATGCAAGTGTAATTGATTTTATATAATTATATGTATATCTCTTAAATACGTGGCTACTTCTCGTCCCATAATTCTCTAAAATTTGTATTGACATTTCACTATATGTGTTTATCTTTTAAATACGCAATTAGTCTTAAATATGTAATGACCAAGATTAACTCATTTTACATAGTTGGCATGAAGTGTGGAATGAATTTGGACATCCTAAATTTAAATTTTCGAACTTATTAATTTATGGATAGTTTGTACATAATTCATGCTCTATATTCTGATATAGTTATCAATATCGATAATAAAACTGCACAACTAACTGGACAAGAAGTGATTATTTTGTACGAATTAAATTTGCTCAGCAAGTCAGTGTTGCTTGCATATTTTTCTTAGCTTGATAAAATAACACAAATAAATTAAGTTAATTACCAACGAAATCTAACTCATTAAAAAATAACTTTTCTAGACTAATAGTTTCATATTCGAATTCATATGAGATGTGTTATAAAACTCTCGCGCTACCTAACTTTGGGAAAGAGAAAAAACACTAATGGGAAGCAAAAGTTGCTTGCTTTTCACAACTTGTTCACAACTTGTTCCTCCCGTCCAAGTCACCCCAGAGAAAAGAAAAGGGAAACAAATCTTTAGATATATGGACGTCCATTTGAAAAGTCTTGGTTCGGGTAAATTAAAATTGCACTATTTTCAAGACATGTACTAAAAATTGGTTTTACTGCAAGTGGGGCCAGTTTATTCTATGCCTCTATGCAACTCTGGTCTCTCTGGCTCTGTGGGACGTCTCGTTACTTGCACACACGAGGCCACCACTATCAAAAAATCTTACAGGGATAGCACGTTGTTATTTCCGACAAAGAACACAATAATACGTGAAAAAGTTATCGCAAGTGTTATTGCGTTATTGATTGAAAATAATAAAAAATACTATTCCTGTTACATGAGAATTTCTTAAGCGCCCTAGTATACTCTACTTGTTCACCTGTGTTGATTTGGGGTACGGTCAGTTCACCGGGAGGATCTCCCTCCCAATTCAAAGTTTGCAAAAATACTTACTTATAACGAAATTAATACTGTTTTATTATTCATAACTAATAATACAATGACACGTAAAAAAATTATCATATATATCATTAAGTTATTGACTGAAAATAGCAAAAAGTATAAGAGTTTCTGTCCCACTACTGTCCACACCCGTCAGACTACATAAAACAACCCCCACTAGGTTTGGTTTGGTTTGGTTTGATTTGGTTTAGTGAGAGTAGTAGTAGATAGTACTCGCTGAGCGGACCCACCCACCCACTCTCTTTTTCCTTCTCTCTAGGGTACATGTAGCAGCTCCACATGCTTTCTAAATACTCTGGCTCACAAACCCATGCCTTTTTCTTTTTTGTTCTCAAAATTTACTTTTATGTTTCCTCAATAGTTTCTATTTATTTTTTACTTTTCAACTTTCTGGACTCTGCTGCCCAAAACGACACGAATACCCTAATGCAGTCTGAGACCTGCAATCAATTATAAACCTGAAATTTCTCCATTGGGAGAAACAAAAATCTGGGTATTTTGGTCATTAGGGCTTTTTCTTTACAATGACTATAAAGCTGCTGCTCTCCTTCTTTATGTGTCAGAGTCCGATTGACCACTGTGCCGAAAAGGTAATAAAAATCCATCATATCATCTCTTTCGGTTTTATTCACTCAAATTGAACTCTCCATTTAGTGCTCCAGGAAAAGGCGCGCTTTGGTGAAACAATTTAATGATCACGTGACCAATAATATATATATGTTAAGAAGATTCACATGCAAATTAATTATGTATGTGTGCCCAATAAAATGTTATGTACCTTTTAGTAGCTACCACTATGCCCTACAACTTCAACTTATCGTTTCTTAATTTTATTAACTAATTCAGCGTCGCTATTTTCGACTAATCACAGACGATTACGTAAACAAATGATAACACATATCATACTTTAATTGTTCAAAAATAACAAAACAACACTATCCCGATTTCACACAATTTTTTTTTTCTGGCGAATGACACAAATCATTATAATAATGAATCTCTATCCAACCATCTCAGCATCTCAGTTGGTTGCCGGAATTGGATTTGAAACTTGACTTTTTGACAAATGGAAGCACACACACTTCTCTATTGGTTGAAATGTCAATATTTATATTAGTAAATCTTGATCATTACATATGGAAGGATCAACTAATAATGAAATTGGAAGATTTAAAATGAGCTGGCTGGGGTGGAAGGTTGGCTGGAGGCAGGACTTTTATTTAGAAGCCGCAGAAGGAGCAGCAGACACGGGTGAATTTTAGATCATCAGCTGGCATTATATTCTCATAACTTCAAAAGGTGTTTTGACCAATTTAACTTTAGTCGGCAAGCCCTGCCCAGTTGTATTTGTGTGCCTCTGTCGCATCAAACCTTATTATATATTCTCATTTTTATATATAATTTCCACGTGTGGGTCACGGGGTTCATCCCTAGTATGGCCCCCTTCCTCTGTTGCGGCATATATACCCACTGACAATTTGATTTTACGACTCAAAAATATATTTTTTAATTTTACTCAAACCCAATATATTTTTTTTTAATTTTACTCAAGCCGATTAATAATTGAAATTTCAATTTAGTTTGTTGCATTAACCATGGGTCTCGCTCACGAAAAATTAAACTACATATTAAAATACTATTACCTCTAAAATTTGACTCATTCAATGGATTAAGATGGAAAGTAATTTTGCTCTAAACATTTGAATAATCTCTACCTAAATATTGTAGAATAATCATGAGAAAAGCGACCATAGGACCATATGGCTTCACGACGTTGAGTTTGAATTCTCTGTTGATGTAAAGAGAAATATCACCAAACTAAGAATTAAGTTCTACGAAAGATGCTAGTTTATATTGATAAGAACAATGTTTACTAGTGGCTTAGTGCACCATTTATTTGTCTAGAAATTAGACAAGATATGCCTTGTTTTGATGAACTTTGGGTTGAGTTGGGTCAAGCGGAGTGGAGGGGTCCGCCCCGACAATTTCTTCATGTATTTGCTCACCCACTGGAATACATGAAGCGGTTGATCCGGATCAGGCGCCGGGTCCCCACCTCCTCTACCCTCAAATTCATGGTTGGGGCCTTCTTGGGGAGGGGGGGTCCTTTCTGTAATGCCCCATGCAATTCAAGAGTCAAACAATTCTTAGTCAACTCTTATTTATATTATATTATTTTCATTTTGGTTTTCTCAAAGGTACCTTCCAATTGCAATTTTCGAACTTCTGAATAATTCTTTGATTATGCAAATCCCAATGAATAATGGAAATAAAATCTCTTTTGATGGCGTTATTTGACCACTTTTTCCCATGATTAGAGTGCCGTCATTCTTGAAATGGATCCTTAGTTTTGTCACTAAGATCTTTGGACGACATATTTAAAATAAGAGATTTAGATTTTAATAACAACATTCAACAATAAACCGTGTTCTGAGAGTAAGAGGTTTATATTTTAATAACAAGGTTAACACTAAACCATGTTGATTGCTAGCCGACAACACAAAGGCTTTCCATATCAATATAAATTAAGTCTCTGCCGACTCGGAAATCCTACTCCTAAACATATTTATTATGGAAATTGAAAGCAACTTAAAAAGTAATCACAAAAGTCTTTTTAAATTGCACAATGCGTATAATCTCAAATTATTATTATTATTATTTTTTCTGGGGTTGATCTTGTGGGTTGAGAGCTCGCAGCAGGCACGACTGTCATGAAAATTTACACTAATTCTTGCACTTTTTACCAGTTACGAGCCAACCCAATTGATGCTTTTTTCTCTTTTTGGCCAATCGCCCAAATCATTAAAAAAGAAGAAGAAGAAGAAACTGTAAAACCCTCTACAGTGACTGAAGGTTCATCAAATAGTATTAGGGCGTGATGTCCGGACCGTTGTCTAAAACCTAGACGAATGCATGCGTACGTACATACGTCAATTGATTGTGACTGGACGTACGTATTGGAGGAGGTACCTACAGTTGACACGTGTCACTGAGAGACGAGGTAGGGCTTAGTTAGGTCATTATGTGACATGCAATATCTTATCTTTAGTTTCTTTCTTTTGCCAATCACCCTCGAAATCCAAGTATGGCAAAAAAAGGCGACCCATCTATCACCTTGCTTTGCTTGTATATGTTTTTTCTCTGCAAAGACTGGACATAGACATATTGTGGCAGCCCCTCTTTCATGCCCTCTTTTGCGCTTCCCATGTTGTTTCAACTTTCAACTTTTCATTTCACTTGTCTTCTTCTTGTTGGCTCATACTATGAAGCTCACACCTAACTTTATATACTTGGTTTTGCGGTTGTATACTCCAAATTCTAGCACGAAGTTTAATTCTATCGTAATCTTCAAAGTTGTACAATTTTGAGTTGAATTCTATCATACACTTGAGTACGTATGAACTTAAAGTTGTGTAACTTCGAAGATCGAAGGTTAAGAAAATTATAAGATTTGACCCATTTGGGTGTCATTTCTCACCCCAAGTAAACTTTTCTCGTTGAATTTAAGGTTAAGACTATGCTTCCTCAGATGGGCAAATTTTTAAGGTTTGAAGTGGAGGGCAAACAGGAAGGCATGCTGCATAGTTTGATTTGATAAGAGAATCCAGGACCACCAGATATACAGTGGATTCTTGATTCCTCCTCACCACCTATATATAATATGAGCTATCTAGAGACTATAGTGAACATGTTTTACCTCTCACATCTGCAGCTTTATAATGCTTGTGATTAGATTGGGTAGTGGGTACTTGCATTAGGGTTTTGATCCCCAAGATAATAACGTGACATTGTCACTATTCATTGAAGATATGTGAATCTTTCATTGGTTGGATTGTTCACTTTGAGATGGGATATGTCGGGGGTTGCATCCAATGAATGGATTAATTTATGCCTTGTTCCCCACTCAGTTCTAGTGCAAACCTTTTTATTTATTTTAAATATCAGCGATATTAAAGAGGAGGAGATTCAAACACATGATCTCGGATGTAAAAATAAGATAATTGCTCTTAACAACTTGAGTTACAAACCCTTTTGCAATGCAAATGTCTCTTAGGAGACCTGCTCTTGTTCAATGCATGTGATGCGAGTAGTGTCTGAGCATATTGGTCATTTTAAATGGGCTTCTCTTTTGGGTCTGGATTTTAATAGCAAAGCTGAGGTGAAAGAACCTGGTCTGGAAGGCCCATTGGCATAGCTTCAATGGACAGCCCATCTTCATGTCCTTACAGTGGTTGCTAGTTGGGTTAATTCTGGAACACTCTATTGGGCCTAAACCAACTCAACAATTTAAAATTCTACATGTATGTTGTTGATCAAGAAACAGCAAACTAACAAAACTGTATCATGTTCGTTTAGTTTCAAAAGTACCTAGTGCTTCTGACAGAAAAAAGAAAAAGAAAAAAAGAAGACAAAGCACAAGTTGAAAAGAAAAAGCAAAATTTAGAAGAAGATATACCAAATACTTGGCTGAGAGAAAAGGAAGATGGGCTTTTCTTATTTATGCCCATTAAAACCAAATAACCAAAAAAAAACTTATAGCTAGCAAGCAATATGAATGGCCACTGACTCACTGAGTCATTGACATTCCCAAGCAATGGCTTCGCTCTGTCTGAACTCGTTGCCCCTGTCTCCACCATCCCAACCCCCCAAACTCTCAGAGGCTCCTTCTCCTTCTTCTAGTTCTCTCAACATTAATAGTTATTATGGCAGCAAAGGAGAAGCCTCAAAGCCCATAGTTGTCAGTGGAAACCCACCCACCTTTGTTTCTGCTCCTGGTCGCCGAATTGTCGCTGGTTCGTATTCTTTGTATTTCCTTTTCTATGTTTTTTGTATAAACATTTATTAGTTTGTGGAAAGAAAAAAAAACCATCTTTTTGCGTTTTCTCTTCTTCTTTGTTGTTTATTTAACTGTTGCTGTTGCATTTGAATTTAGATTTTAGCAGTTGGGTTGTCACTATTTGTTTAAACTGTTGCATTGAAGTTGAATTCATGTTCAGTTTTGTGATTGGATTTGCAAATATGAAGTGAAGAATGCATTGAAATTTCCATGATCGTTCAGTTTCCATATAAATTTCATGCCATAAGGGAGGTTTTGTCATTCACATATGGTCAATCCTAGCTAATTAAAGTACCAGTTCCTGCCAACGACCTGTGGAAAAGGGCCTTGACTTGCAGACTAGAGGTCTCATATTCGAATCCCCATGGCATCTTATTTGTGTGTGAGAGAAATCCCCTTCCTTTGTAGTTTAGATCATGGCTTGTACTAAATATATATATATATATATATATACCAGTTCCTTGTTACTGCTGAAAACTCCTCTGTAATGACTGTAATTTTGGTGCATTTCCTTATGAGGTTGTAGGCTCACCAGTGTAGCTTTTTTTTATTTATCTATAAATGTTTATGCCTTTGTGTGGCATAAATATATACAGTTGGGGATCTGCATGGAGACCTTGACCAAACAAGATGTGCACTTGAGATGGCTGGTGTGCTGAGTCCTGCTGGTCAGGACTTATGGACTGGTGGAGAAACGGTATACCTTTAATTGACTTAGTTCAGAGTAGTTCAGGTTCTTGCAGTTGTCTTCACTAGGCACAAAGTTGGTCTTTCTGTTGTGAAATTACCAACTTTTGAAGAACATGAGGATAAATCTGTTTCCTTTGTGACATAGGTATTGATTCAGCTTGGGGATATACTTGATCGAGGTGAAGATGAAATAGCCATTTTGTCCTTGCTCCGATCCTTGGATATACAGGCAAAAGATGAAGGTGGAGCAGTTTTTCAGGTTTGCGTGGCAATTGGAACATCTGCATTGTTGGAAAAAGTTATCAGATGCTTTAATTACTAGATTTTTCATAGGTGATTTGATGTTTGAGGAATGTGTTTAGGCAATTGTGAAACACTGGTTTCATATAGGTTGGTTTTGCAAGATGACAATGCACGAAACTGTGCATTAATTTTTAGATTATTTTTGTCCAAATTTGAGAATTGTATATGTAGATCGTTTCTGAATCAAATTTTGTTGATCCTGCTCTTTGTAATGTTGTAGGTCAATGGGAATCATGAGACTATGAATGTGGAAGGGGATTTTAGATACGTGGAAACTGGAGGATTTGATGAGTGTATTGATTTCCTGGAATACTTGGATGACAATAGAGATGACTGGGAAGAAGCTTTTGTTGGCTGGACTGGTGTCTCTAAACAGCTGAAGGAAGACAGGAAAATGCCCCAAAATTATTGGGATCCATGGAATCTAGTGAGGGTACTGAAATCCTCTGTTTCACTTTTTATTCTTTTCCATTTACTATTTTAATGTTACGTCTGATAAAGTTTTCCAAATATTAGGACAGAGGCAAAAGGGTGTGATTGCCAGATCAATCCTTCTAAGACCAGGTGGTCCATTGGCATGCGAGTTAGCACGGCATGCTGTTGTTCTTAAGGTTAATGACTGGGTCTTCTGTCATGGTGGTCTTATTCCTAACCATGGTAAAAAGAGTGCCTACAATCTGAACAAATTTGGTTTCTTGTTTGCATCACCTGATAGGAGTATTGGTCCTTCCGCAGTTGCATATGGCGTAGAGAGGATGAACAGGGAAGTATCTCACTGGATGAGAGGCCTCAGTGACAGTGATGAGTCTGACAACCCTCACTTCCCTTTCATAGCCACCAGGGGCTATGACAGTGTAGTCTGGAACCGCTTATACTCGAGGGATACTTCAGAATTAGATGACTATCAGAACAACCAGGCAAGTAGATAGCAATGGTTTGGATCCCCCTTTTCTTATTCTGTTTCTTTGATACTCGGAGTGAAATAATTTGATAAGAATTCAAAAGAACCGCCAGCAGGTTTCATTGCTGTGTTGAATATTTGTTTCCCTTAATGTTGGATCCAATTGGACATTGTATTGAAAATGGAACAGTCTAGTTTCAGAATTTATTATTCACTTTCATAGAAATCTATCCTCTTCTTCTAATGAGATTAAGAGTCAAGATTGAGCTTTTGAAATTTAAATCATCTGTCAGATACATTCTATTCTTGAAGAGACGCTACACGCAATTGGTGCTAAGGCAATGGTGGTGGGGCATACTCCTCAAACTACAGGAGCAAATTGGTATGATCCCAAACCTTCATTTAGGTAAAATGAAAGGGTTTTCTTAGTCATCTTTTGTAGATTCAATTCTGAAGTTGTGGATTCTTCCCTGCAGTAAATACAATTGCAGCATATGGCGGATTGATGTAGGGATGTCCAGTGGAGTTCTTAATTCAAGACCAGAGGTAAACTAAATTTAGTGGCTAAATCTATTTATACTCTCTTAAAAATCTTAAGTTCAATTGCTTCCATGCGTTAATATCAGATGCCGGTTTCTTGAATGCTTAACAACGACGAAGGTAATCGAATATGTAATTTGACAATGTTTTGCAGGTTCTTGAAATCAAAGACAATAAAGCAAGAGTTATAAGAAGCAAAAAGGATACGTCCAGTGAATCTCAGGTTGTCGATTTTATATAGAGACAAGCAAACTTCTTGTTTCTATGGCACACATTGTTTATACAAAAGAAGATAACTTCAACGATGATAAAGGAGTAACACCATTTTTGACCATCTTAAGAGCAGAAGCAAACAGAGCAGAAAAATAGAGGGAAAAGCAGCCTTTGTATATGATACCCCGCACCAACTTTTTATTCTTGCTTCAAGCGAATTGAATTTGGTTGTACTGTAAGATTAAAAATGAACGATAGCTGCATATATTTTTACTTTAACCAGAGATTTGGAGATGTAATATAGTTATTATTTCCATTGTTAATACATTTACTTTGTTGACTTTATATTGTTAATCACAAGAAGATTTATATTTTTTTTAGTACAGAAAATTTTGGATTGTAATGAAATAGGAAGAAACTCATGTGCCCGATACTCCCACAATGAGAGAAATTTTGCTGTGCGGCCGTGACACTGCCTCGTGGGTTATGAATCCCAGTTTCATACATAATATGAAGGAAAAAGTTTAGCCTTTTAAAATTGAGGAGGAGCCTTTTAAAATTGAGGAGTAGCACTTCCAAAAATTATAAAGAAGATTATTAAATTTATTATTTATGATGACATTATTTACAAAATTATAAATTTAATATTTATTGATGACCAAAACAAGACGGAAAATCTAAAAAGCAGTTGGCCGGTGTCTCTTTGATTTTGATGTCCAACGTCCACCTTCGTAAACTCCGCTAACCTCTACACCCCCTGCGCACTATATCACTCAATCTGCCTGCACTTCATTTATATGCACACCTTCCTCAGGCTCAACCTTCACCACCCTCTTATCCTGCTCACCTCCCTCCCCACCATGACCGCCTCTCTCGCCCTCCCCTCCATTTCTCTCAACTCCTCCTCCGTTTCGGGGCTTCGAAATGGAAAAGGAGCCCCGCTCGGTATCCGGAGCCTCGGGCGATCTAGGGTTTCCATGACCGCCTCCGTTGGATCGCAGACTCTGCAAAGCGATGCCTTGTTCGCTGATTACAAGCCCAACTTCGCTTTCCTCTTCCCTGGTCAAGTGAGTTCGTTGCTCCATTGCCGCCATTTCCTTTCTTTAACTTGAACAATGTCGTTACTGCTCAGATAGTCATTCTAATTTTGAAATTGCTGTCAAAATTTCATTCTCAGTTTGATACGAAAAATTTGCAATTTGGGCTGTAATTGGATAGTTGAATTTTGTCTTTTCCTATGCGTTTCTTGTTTGAAATTTCTAAAGATAGAGACTTCTTAGTTTTGAATTGAGCTGAGTTTTGTTAATCCTCTGCTGTTTTTTGCAACACAGGGTGCGCAAGCAGTTGGAATGGGAAGGGAAGCTCAAAGCGTGCCTGCTGCTGCGGAGTTATACAAGAAAGCAAACGATATTTTAGGGTAGCATTCATACAGTTATTTCATTATTAATTTTTTTGTTCAGCTCAGATATAATCACTTTCTTTCGGTATATGGAAGATGGTTTTCATGAGTGATTTAATGTGTCTGTTGTGTGCAGGTTTGATCTTTTGGATGTTTGTTTCAATGGGCCAAAAGAGAAGCTAGATTCAACTGTTATAAGCCAGGTATGAGTATCACCTGAATTAACTGTTTTTTACTTTATAAGCAATGCTACACAGATGGGGTTTTTAACTCCATGATGTGTTTCAGATTTTCACTTGATAGTCAGTGATTTTCTGGGTTGGCATGGGGCAATTATGTTTTTCTATGTCAAATGTTCAAGGATGAGATTTTCTTGTGATAGTCATTGATTAGCATCCACTACTACTTTGCAGCCAGCTATTTATGTCACAAGTCTAGCCGCTGTTGAGTTACTTCGTGCACGTGATGGAGGCCAGCAGATCATTGATTTTGTTGATGTCACATGTGGCCTAAGTTTGGGAGAATATACTGCTCTAGCATTTGCTGGGTCATTCAGGTGAGCCATCCAACTGAGCAAGAGATGCTATGTTTCCTACTGTATTTAAGGTTTCATATTGAATTAAGGATGTGCCGATGAAATTATGCACAAGTAAAATTTCTCCTTTGATCTGTTAGCTTAGTGATCTCATTTAAGTTTACTGGGCCACAAGGAATTCAACTGCTCAGATGCTGCCTTTCCATGTTTATAATATAAGGGAGATGAACCACCATTTTCTTTGTTTACTTAGTTTAGGATAGCAGATTAATGTATTAGTAGAAGACATAGCAGATTTATTTCATTTGTGTGATCTTCTGTAGTGGCTATCTTCTTGTGCTAATCTTCCCTATTTGTTGACTTGATTCAATATGTAAGCTTTGAGGATGGGCTCAACCTGGTCAAACTGAGGGGAGAAGCCATGCAGGTAACTTTATATTTGTGCACGTTTTTTATGATTCATGTTCCTGGAGGGAATATGTGCATAATCTATGACACTTACATGCTTCCTTTTTATGACTTCCTTCAGGAAGCTGCCGATGCTGCCAAAAGTGCCATGGTCAGTGTCATAGGGTTGGACTCGGACAAGGTTCAACAGTTGTGTGACGCAGCCAATCAAGAAGTCGATGATGCTAACAAAGTTCAGATTGCAAATTATCTATGTACTGTAAGGACTTCAAGTCCAACTTAGTAAGCCTAACTAGATGATTGGTTCTTAATTCGTCTTAACAAAATGTTTGACCATGGCATGGAATGATTCTGTTGTTGTAGGGCAATTATGCTGTATCTGGTGGTGTGAAAGGAGTGGAAGCAGTAGAGGCCAAAGCAAAGTCATTCAAGGCCCGAATGACGGTACCATTCTTCATTTCCTACTTATATGCAATTCCATTCTTCTTCAATTAATTTTTGATGAAGAATCCCCTCCTCCCCCATTCACTTCATGCTCAGGTTCGACTAGCTGTTGCTGGCGCTTTCCACACTAGTTTTATGGAACCTGCTGTATCAAGATTGGAAGCTAAATTGGCAGCAACACAGATCAGAACACCAAGAATACCAGTTATCTCCAATGTTGACGCACAACCACACTCAGATCCCGAGACAATTAAGAAAATATTGGCTCGTCAGGTAAGCTAGCCAGAATTTTCTCCTCCCCATCATGTCTCACGAGCAAGAGTTTTGATTTGGACCCTAAACTCAAAACCACAGGTGACTTCCCCTGTTCAATGGGAAACGAGTGTCAAGACTCTCCTTAGCAAGGGGCTGAAGAAGAGCTACGAATTGGGACCTGGAAAGGTATAAATCATTGTACCGAACGCCTCAATGTACACACACATCACTTGGCTCTGTAGTCTTTCTTGGATTCTGAGTTTGTTTGAATCATGTATCAGGTTATAGCTGGCATTGTGAAGAGAATGGAGAGAAGTGCAGAGATTGAGAACATTGCCGCATGAAAAGGCAACCGGAGATGTGGCTTCAATGATATCCAGTTACCATGTGGTGGTACATTTGCCGATGGGGCAGTTGAGGGAGGAGCACGGGAAGAAGCGGCTTTTTCGGCCAAATCTTTTCGACAGTTTACTACTCTTTAGAGTTTTGTTAGGTGATTAGAAATCCTATTTTCAGTATAATAAAGTTTGGTTTCTCCTCAAAGTAAGCTTCTATCAATCAATGTAGCAGTGCATAAGCTGAAAAATTCGATTTTTGTAGATTGCCTCAGAATTATGTGAATTGCTGAATACTAAGTTCTTGTTGTGACATAGAAATGTGATGAAATGAACATGATTGATAAATTATTTATATTTCATAGATTGTTCTACATTTCATGGACTGGTAACATGCAAATCCAGTGATTTGATAATTTCCAATCCAATTCAAACCGGGCGCCGGAGTTGGTGAATGCGGTCTATCAAGTTGCCCTCGGGGACCCGATCAGCCCAAGGGGGAGGAGTTCCGGCGAAGGAAATTCCCCGCATCGCCTCCCTAACCCTCGTCGCGTTCTCCGGAGGCAACGGCGCATTTCTGCGATTCTCGTCTTCTCTGAACGCCCTCATTATCGCCGAATCAGAAGCCTCCTCCTCCTCCTCCTCCTCCTCTTTGTCTTCTTCGTCTTCGCTGCTCATGCTCATGTTATGATTATTAGTACCCTCGAGGTTGTCGTTTAGGCGGAGAGACGAAATCCCTCTCTGTACCTGATTCACAGTCACGCCGTTGGAGAGCACCTGCTGCTGGTGCTGCTGCGGGTGGATCGAGACGGTATCGTTTCTGCTCTGATCTTCATCTTCGGAATCGACGGCGGAGACTGGCTGGTAGTACTCGCCGGCCACTTCGTCCTCATCGATGTTTGTGTCCGAATCGCTTCCGTTGAGGTAATCCGTAACTGAAAACCACAAAACGCATAATTAATAACAATTAATCACAATGGTTAGAGAGAAAACAAATAAAAAAAGAAACACAAAACTGAAACCTTCGATGAAATCAGGATCAGCTGGAGCGGTAGCGTTCATGCTTTCAGTCTTCCAGAGAACCCAAGAATCTGAGAAGTGAGTGAGCGCGTTTTGGTGAAACCATGAATATAAATAAATAAAACCAGAAATCAGAGAAAATAAAAGCACAAAATGTAAAGAAAAAAAATCAAAATGCACCAGCCGGGAATCGAACCCGGGTCTGTACCGTGGCAGGGTACTATTCTACCACTAGACCACTGGTGCTTGTTGACTTCCTTATGCAAATGAAGATATATAGTTGTTAAGAGATGTTTTCTTGTGGAAGTGCAAACGGAGAAGCTTTGTGGCTGAAGTTTCAGCTTGGAACCACACATTTGAGCTCTGCTGAGCTGCTTTGGCTGGGCAGTGAGGGAGGGAGTGGAAGCGGGAAAATGACAGTTCCCATATTCAGGGCCTCAGTTCCTAAGTCTCATCCATTGCTCATTCATTCCCTTTCCTCTGCTCTACCACTCACAGATGAAGCTTCAAAGAAGAAGAGGTTGCTCTCTTGTTGTGCTTCATCAGAACTCAATCCAGTTCGGTGAGCCAATCTTAATTTCTCAGCCCAAGTTCTGGTATCATTCTTTTTTCTTTTTTGTGTGAGAGTCTTCAGTTTAACTATTGGAGCTTGCAATGAATTTCTCTAGGATTAATATGTGTATAATGTAAACATGTTGGTTGATTGATGTATCTTGGCTTGGTTAATGTAGGCCAGAGCTGTCTTTCTGTGTTGGCACTCATCTTATTCCACACCCCAACAAGGTATTTCATACTTGCAAGTTGCAAACCCATGTTTGTCTTCTTCAAGCATTTTCCTTATTTGTGTTGGGCATGATGTTTTTCTAAGAAAGTTCTAGTCTTTATTATCAAACTTCTAACAATTTGAAGTCTTGGTGGTGTTTTGAAAGGTTGAAAAAGGTGGGGAAGATGCTTTCTTTGTGAGCAGCTACAATGGGGGAATTATTGCTGTTGCTGATGGTGTCTCTGGGTATGGAAACTAAGTGGGGTTTCTTTTTTATTGGATTATGAACTTTAAAGCTTTCAACAGCTGCTTTGTGATTTGAAAAAGAAAGAATATAAAGATAGGTTGGATTTTGGTTGATGACTCACAAGAAATCCATTGTCGAATTGGGTTAATAAACTTCTGATTTAATCTATGCTGCAAAGTCATTTTGAGTTCAGAATTTGTAAATCTTCTCATTTTTGGCTTGCCAGTTGGGCTGAGCAGGATGTGGATCCTTCATTGTTCCCTAAAGAATTCATGGCCAACGTTTCATGTCTTGTGGGAGACGAGGAGGTAGTCTTCTTGAGTAAATATAACCAATGATGTCTTGTTTCTCTCAAAACAATTTATCGTTTTCATTATGTTTTCAGAGCCATTATTGTTAAGTAGCTTTTCGAGTTTCTGCATATGTTGTGTGGCTAACAAATCCGATGCATGTTACCTATATAGCAGGTGAACAACAATCCTCAGATTCTGATAGGAAAAGCTCATGCTGCTACCTCTTCTACAGGTTCTGCTACGGTGTAAGTTCATCATTTTGTTCAAGGGATCCTCGCTATAGTTGTCATTTTCGTTAAGAGCATCCTCACACACACATTTATTCACTTTAACTTTCCTTTGTCTGACTCTGAGTAGAATTGTTGCCACGCTGGAGAGGAATGGGATTCTGAAAATTGCCAATGTCGGGGATTGTGGACTAAAGGTTATTCGTGAAGGTAATATATTATTCCCAATGCCATACTTGTGAACAAGTTCTGAGCTCTCCATTGCTCCATATTGAAATGACATGTCATTGTGACAACTTGCAGGTAAAATTAAGTTTTCCACATCTCCACAAGAACACTATTTTGATTGTCCATACCAACTTAGTTCGGAGGCTGTTAGCCAAACATACCTTGATGCGATGGTATTTACACCTATCTAACACTACGTGATTGCTGTCCATATTCTAGTCTCTCTAAACTAACAGTTCAGTGTCCTAATTTGGATCAACGACAGTGCATGCACAAATGTCTTACATGGGTTTCATATCTCCTTTTGGCTGCTTAACCACTGGGAACTGAAAACAAAGCCAAAAAAACCGAATATGACAGGATTTTCTAAGCATTTATAATGGCTGGTTTGACAAAAAAACTGTACCATATATTCATGTAGAGCCTGCAACTAGTAAACAGATACTGAAACCTTTGTGGAATTGCCATTTTTTTAGTGCAAATCAGATTATGATGATTGCCGGTGATTATGATTGTGGGATAATCCGTCTCCAATTTCAGGTCAGCAGTATTGAGTTGATGGAAGGAGACACCATAGTAACGGGCTCAGATGGACTTTTTGATAATGTTTTCGACCATGAAATTGTTTCAACATTGGCCGGATACAGAGATGTTGCCGAGGCTGGTATGTGTTTCCAATATCAACAAATTCTATGGGGGATTAGCAATTCAGCACATAATTTATTTTCTTTCTAACTGAAATTGATTTTAATGCTAGCAAAGGCATTAGCTAATTTAGCAAGCAATCATTCATTGGATTCAAACTTTGATTCTCCCTACTCCATGGAGGCTAGATCAAGGGTAATATTATTTATCTGACTTAACCAAATTCTAAATCATGACGCTTTCTCACAATGAAGACATAATAATTTGTTGCCTTGCTTTTTGGCACCTCTCAGGGTTTTGAGGCTCCTTTATGGAAGAAAATTCTTGGAATGAAGCTAACAGGCATGGTCTTTCTGGTTTAATAGATGACATTGACAATTCATATTCCTTGATTTAATGGCTTACCTGAGTTTTCTGTTTGTGCAGGTGGAAAGCCCGATGATATCACTGTGATTGTTGGTCAGGTCGTAAGCTTATGAAGCATTTTGATCTTTTTCCAAGAGAGTCAAACTTCAAACACAAACCTCCCCTTTGCAGGGTAGCTGTGCTATAATTTTACTTTGATTTTCTCATCCTTTTAGAGTCTTATAACTTTCATAGATCCACAAAAGATTACAGCAGCAACTGATTGAAAAATATCCATTCATATTTTGTCTACAAATGTACTGCTTTGGAAAATGTAGGGGTACCTCCCTTGTGCATTAAGCAAGACATTGCTATTAAATTCTGGTTGCTGTCTGAATTTCCTATTTCTGGTCACATCTTCATTCAAATAAAGTCGACAGTCCACATGAAACTTTGGCACGTTTATTTTGTGCAAGCATCATCTACAAAAATGAAGTTTCGTGATTATAGAAACACCCTTTTTAATGAAGATTGTGGGATAGTCGGATTGTTATGTATTTTCCTTTTTAATGTCTACCAACATTAACATTTGTGAGAGCTAAAATATTATTCAAAACTTTATTATTGATATATTGATCCATACATCATCAAGAAACCCAAACAGATGAAAACTACTCAAACGGGGTTTCATGTAACTGAGATTCTAATGGAAAAACAAGAAGAACACTTATTTCTATGATTACTAGAACAAACACTGAGGGGCAAAAAAAGATTGATTGAAACAGACAACAATGTGTACAATACAAAAAATTAACCTACACCAATGAATCTAACTCGCTGACTATGACACTGTCTATAAAAAATAGACTCCAGTCAGGTCTGAAAAATTCCGATCGACTTGCTTACTCATCCGTCGTGTGAAGCAAACTCTGATTTCTCAATTATACAAAGGTATACCTAATGCAATAGAAAATCTCCTTTGTCTTTAAAGGCTCTTCAGGTTATAGTGCCACTATTACTACTACTACCATTGAGTTCTTGGAAGAAGGTTTTTGAGGCTTCATATGTGGACCAGCAGATAGCAGCAGCTGGGGCATGGAAGAGCATTCTTGGAGCCCATCCCCTCACAAGACCTTTGTATCCATCCTTTCTCACTATTGTCCGAAAAACGTCTCTAATTGAACCACTTTTAAATCTGTCACAACCGCAAATACCCTGTACAACCAGTCAATGAGAAAAAAACACAGGTTGCAGTCATATAGTTGTCACAAATCTTTACTTAAATCATCCAGGGCTTGGTAATTCCACTAAAACTTTAGGTAAAGTAGGCAGCATGCAGCAATGCCTATAATTTATCCATCATTTGTTTCAAATCTTAACGAATTATTTTGATAGGAAAATTGTATTAAAAAAAATGAAGGTGATTTAGTGCTCCGACGTCCAAATGGCACACATAAACTGAGCAACGGATAGCGAGGAGAACAACTTTCTCGGCTTCCACTCGAATTACACACACAAAACTGAAAGTGCATGTTAAATAGAAAATGTGAAGTCCTATTCTTAATATGATGTCCAAAACATACTGAGGAAAATTGAGTAGGACATGGGAGATAATGTTTTTGCTTTTAGTAGAAAACGCTTTTCAAAATATTTCCATTTGAATAAAAGATAACTTCTTTTCTGCTCTCATTACCTTAAACAGTCAAGTACTTGGAAACTAACGGTTATCAATTGCACTAGTATCTATTAATTATCTTCTTTGGCTCTTCAATTTGGTCCAAAATTTTGCAACGCTTAAACAGTCAAGTGTCAAATTGAACTAACAAAAAGATTTACCTGACACTGTAATTGAGTTTTGACCACATCCAGCGGCGTAGTGACCATAGAGGCCAAGCCACCAGCTGCAGCACCAGCAGTAGCATGGACAATCAAACGCTCGTCGTTCGCATGCTCGGGTGAAATCTCCATCAAGCCCCTCTTCACCGCCTCATACGTCGCAAAATGCACCGCCGTAAACGGGGCATTCATCAGCACCGTCGTCCTGTACGAGGCATAAAACGCCCTCACCCCATCTTCCCTGAACACCTTCCGCACACAATCCCACACTCCCTTGTACGGACTGTGAAGATTGTTCCCCAACTGCAGCCTCTGCTTCACCATGTCCATTGGGGTAAAAACGGCGTCGCTCGCCACCGTAGCAAAAACGCCCGAAATCGCATGGGCACCCGGGTTGTTCGGGTTCCCGCCCGAAAAAAATTTCTTGCTCATCTCATAGACGGAGAAGTAGACGGCGTGTGCCGGGCCGGCTCCGAGCCCCATGGCTCCAATGCCACGGTAGAGCCCGGCGGGCCCCTCGGACTTTAAAATGGATCCGAGGGCCTGCCGGACTCCGACCGACTTAATCGGGCAGGACCCGAGAGCTTGCATATGGGTTTTTATGGTGTCCACTGGGAACATGGCCATGTGTTCGACCATGCCGGCGATGGAGCCGGCGATCATGAACTGCCAGAAGTGGAGGCCGTCGTGGGCCGAAACGGTGGCGTCCTGCCGGTAGTCTTGGGGCTGAGAAATCGGGCGAAAATCCGGGTTTTTGAACTTGGGCGTGGCGTCGGTGGCCATGGGAGGAGCAAAATCGGTGCTTGGCGAGATGGGTTTGGGGGAAGTCGGATTTTTGAGATGGGTTTGGGTCCGATTCGTCTGATTTGAGTTTGGGGAGGTGGGTTTTACTGGATTGGGATTTCTCCATAAACAGTTATATCAAAGCAGAGAGCTTGGTTTGCATCATCTTTTGGATTATTGATAAATAGTGTCTGAGTCTTGAGTGAGAGAGAGAGAGATAAGGGGTTTAAGTTTAACGAGTCAACAAGGCTGGCAAATTGGGATAGGAGATGAGTAGATTGATTTTGGCATTAGGGTTCCAAAGATTTCGGATTTAGGGTTTTCCTTTTCTTTTTTTTTTTCTTTTTTTTATTTTCCTCCCGAATTCAAGGAGATTGATTGATAAATTTTTTTGTTTTTGTCGCAAGATTAATTGAGAATATATACTTCGGTTTTGACTTTAAAGCCCACACCACAGGAATAGGCAAATGGGCTGCTTTTGTGACAAAAGTTTTGTCATTGTTTCTGTTTTTGGGCCACTCTCAACTACCGGCTGGCCGCCCCTTCCCCTTGTCCAAGGATCTTGGAGTTAAAAGGAAGTAAATTTCAGACATGAATTTATCTCCACCATAATCTTAGGAAATTTTCTCTTTCAAGTTTTTACATGTTTTACCTTCAAACTCTGAGCTTAGGTTTTTTTTTAAAATTTTTTTTTAATAAATAAATATTTTAAATATTTATTTTATATGAAGAGAAAATACACATTGGAGATTTAGCTCCACCAAACTCAATGTGAATTTTAGGTATACTAATTTACCAAACACAATGTGAACACAGGAGACCTAAAATTCACATTGAGTTTGGTGGAGCTAAATCTCCAATGTGTAAGCAGGCAAGGTAGGGGCCCCTAAATTGGAAGGGCATCCAATTTGTATAATACTCTATATATACATACCTATATTATTTATAATAAAAAAGCTATATTATATAAATATTATGTTAGGCTGAAACCAATTCTTATAAATAAAGAAAACAAAAAAAACTTACATAATCATTAAATTCAAAATTAAAAGAGGAAAATCAATAAAGGCCCACTCATTATAAAAAATAATAATTAAAAAAAAATAAAAACTTGCCTAATTACTCAATTCAAAATTAAAAAGAGGAAACTCAATAAAGATTCAATTATTTTTTAAACTTATAGTTAAATCAATTAACATAGTTGAATCAATTAGGAAATTGAAAAATGCATGGTAGAAAAACTTGATTATGTAAAGTTAATTGATACTTTTGAATCGAAAAATGTAAGACGAGTGATATTTAAGTGATGTTTTGATGCGTTTTATAAAGTTGTTGTGTAAATTACATATTGATTGTTTCATTTATGTTACAATTGTGAATTTTAGTTCATATAATATTTTTTAACTTACCAAAAAAAATCACATCAATATACATATAAAGTAGAAAGTCCCATTAGAATGTTCGCTTAGGGCCTCTAAAACTTACGACCGCCGCTAGGTGAACATATCATGTAAGTTGCGAACAAAAATTGAAATATTATAAGGGAACCTTATTACAAGCTTTTAAACAGTCTTCTGAGAACCTCTAACAACAAGTAGATTGAGTCTTGGCTTAATGCTCATGGCCTTGAGAAATGCTTCTGATGAAGGCATTGATGGTCTCAGATGACCCACCTACTGCAATGGCACCATAGCATATCTTCTTAACCTCTCTAGCTATTCTCCTCATTTCCTTCTTTTCTTCATCCTCCAAATCCATAATTTTCTTCACCAACCCAGCAATTCCCTCGCTTGTCACCAACTTGACCTCAGCCTTCTTCAACCTCAACCCAACTTTCCAATTCTCCACAATCAAGTTACTGACCATGCCTTGATCCATAAGCAAAGGAAATGCAAGAAAAGCCACACGCAAAAACGCCTTCTCTAACCGAGTTCCAACCACAATGTGTCAAAAACCCTCCAACACTAGAATGGCATGTTGTGAATTTTAGACAACCTGAAAAATGGAGATTATAAAGATTAGTCTAAACACAAATTATACTCACAAGTGCACAAGGTCAATCGTGATATAGTATGGCAAATATGAGGTCATTCCCACGAGGATTGATTTCAACTACCAATTAGTCTAACCTAATTTACTTCACAAAATAATTTAACTACTATAATTATATAAACAATAAATTAAACACGTAGCATACTCACGTAAACACAAAAGGGGTTTTTGAAAGAATGATTTAATTAACAACGAAATTAAAAGACAAAATAAGTAGAAAATCATGAAATACAAGATGAGAAATTCAAATTGATAAAATCACTAAGACAATGAATTCACCACTAGTAATCCGATCTAGCCTCTTATTCACCTACCTATTAACTAACCATTTGATGTCGCCGCTTAGTTTTCCTTTTTCATGAATTACCTATGGTATTTAGGCTAACTCGTATATTCCTTCATGCAATTAGCCTATGGTATTTAGGTCAAATATCAACACATAGAAACTCATTAAGATCAGTGAAAACCTCAAACAAGCATGTAAACCCTAAGAGTATGGTATTTACCCTAGACGAATTACAAAGCCTAATCACAAGAAGCAAGCCTCAAATTAAGTATGGTATTTACTCTAATTTGCATCCGATTAACTCGATTAAAAGTCTAGATGGTGATCAAACATCAAGATAAGAAACCAAGTTATTAAGCACAGTGATTAAGAATCCAACATCAAACGGCAATCAATAGATAGGTAAAATAAGAAAACTAGATTATCATACTAGGGCTACATCATGCCCTAGCAAGAGAAAATTAGTTACACATAATCATAGAATTCAACATAAGCAAAAACATAAGGAAGAAACAATCAAACTTAGCCAATAGCGGTACTCTTCCGGTTTCTCCAATTTCTCCTTGTCTTTTCATGTCCTTCAGGGAGTTGTTTATCATGCTTAAATAAAACACCCCCACGTCTATTCCTACCCTAGCTGGGCTTTTACAGCAGCCCAAGATTAAAGAAAAACCTAATTAAAACATAAATCCAAAATGGGTAAGTAATTGACTCCTCTTCCTACTTGGACTGGGATAACACATCAGTTACTTTGCAGGCACGTTTAGGGTTGTTCCTCCTCCAAGAAAATTCGGTAAAAATATGGAAAGTGTAGATTTTTGTCTTATCTTTCCATCCATATATCACAAGCCTTGAGGAAAAATCAGGAAAGTCTTCAAATACTCATTCTTCCACAGCAGCACAGTTTTGACGGGATTGCACCTTGTGCTGACTTAACTTCAAAGACTGCTCTCATTGGCTGCTCAGAAAATTCTAGAAAAATTCCACAATCATCTTCCAGGTCTTAGCTTTCATCTCCAATTGGTCTCGTACTAAAACTCCACCAAAAAGTCATATTTCCATTGGAAACAAATTACTTGCTCTGGAAAGCTGAAAATTGAGAAAATAAAGTAATAAGTCTTTTTAAAATCAAATTCTCCTACAAAAACTAAGTATAAAGAGTACATAAATGTGTAAATTTATGGACTTATCATGGCACAACACTCTCAATTGGTCACACCATGGCACTACCAAACCCATGTCACCACAAACCTCTTTCAACCTACCGGTTTCTCCACGAGCCACCCAAATGAACCGAACACCGCTCTCGCGCAAACCAGCTGCGATCTCATCCATTTGGGCACTGGAAACTGAAAGAAAACTTCCCATTGAGATGTACAACATAGAGCTAGAAGGTTGATAATCCAGCCATTTTAAATAGTTAAACACACCACTATCACTAGGGTCATTGCCCCTCTGTTAATGGATATCACTACAAAAAAAGTCAACAATGGTTACCATTTTATTGGTGACTGTTGACATCTTTAGTCACCTTTTTTGGTGAGTAAAAGCAATATTCACCATGTAGTTACAATTGTGGGCTTCATTACATATGAAGCCGTTACTAAAGGCTATTGTCACTGATATAACAACATTCGTGACATTGTGGAAATTGACTCTTAACAGCATGTGGGGTCCATCATCTTTCCAATAAACTTTAATTTACAATATTTTATTACTTATTTGACTATCCAATCAACTTCATATTACGTATTTGATTTTTAATAGTATTTAAGTACAATGGGGCCCATCAAATTCAACAAATTGACAATACATTTTTATTACTTAAATATATATATCTATGTATTAGAATTATTAAAAAAAATTACAATTTCTATTTGTACATTTCTTACTTTTAATTTTTTAATAATTAATTAATAAAATTATTGTTTTTATTAATGTATGGTGTTTATTGTAATTTCATTAAAATTCAATAAACAAATTAATAAAGATATTGACTTTCATTGCAATTTCCTCTAGTACAATAAACATTTCATAAATATATTAACTTTGATTTCATAATTTTCATTACAATTTACACACATGGAGGATTAAACCCCCCAAAATATTAAGTCACTAGTAACTAAATATACAATCATTTGGGATCTACTTTCAAAATAACTAATTTCATCCCACTTGAGCTTAGTCTTCAAAAAGGAAATGACATACCCTAGTACCAATGAAACAATTATGATCAAAATACCAAACTAACATGTATTTTGGTATTATGAATTTCATAATACCAAAACACATATATATTGATAAGCATGATGTTAACAAAATGCATAATGGTACTGCATGGTCCACATACCATAATTGAGAACCATATTTTTCAAACTTTGAATACAAGGCCTACATTCCTGCATGAAGTAATCACAAAGAATATATATATATATATATATATATGTTAACTGTGCATTTTATTACATGGATGCCTCTATAACAAACAACACAAGACAACAGATCCTAAAATACAATCAAATTGAGCCTCACCACAGCTTTTGCAGCTGTCTTATTCACAAGTGTTCCATTCTTTCTTAGGTGGCATAGTTCAAATATTTTGCATCTGTCAGGGGAGACACCCCTGTGATTCACCTTCTAAAATCCACCAGGCAGTTCACATATCAAATATTATTTTAAATCATAGCATGAGTACCTAAAAGAAGTTTTTCTTAAACCATCCACAAAATCATTTGTTCGTGGCCCATTAATTAAAAAATTGAAAGTATATACCAGCTGTTCTATGTTTTTATCATTTATATACACCAGCTATTCTATGTTTTTATCATTTATATACACCAGTTGTTCTATGTTTTTATCATTTATATACTATCAAAACATTATGAGAACTTGCATAAGCAGACATACAATATGATAACATGCTCCACATTAATTGACTAGAAAAACTGTGACACTTACATATTGGTTCCTCACTTGGGCATATGATTTTGTCCCCGTTGTGTGGTGCATCCTGCGCTTCGCATGATTACATTTATTTGTGATTGATCGTTTCTGTATGAATATTTTATACAGTGTCAAACAATTGACCATTTTAAAAAACAAAAACCAAAGACATATTTCATGTTTTACCAGCGCTGGACTAGTCTCCCAATATTGCACCAATAACCTCAACTGTTCTTTGCTAACCCTGTCATCAGTGTAATTCCATCGCTCCTCTGAATTCAAAAATGGATCATACCAATTCTTTTTTAGATTGGCCTTGTGTTTCTTCCAAAGATGATTGAGTTTCTACTCAACCACGGCTCGTATTTTGGGTGCCTTCTTTCCCGTTTCCGGATCAGACCAATCAATTGTCCTCTGCATTCATATTCAACTATATACATTAACATTTTAGTGGTTTGACATGTATAAGTTAATCAGAGTGTTCAACTGAAACACGAAGACCAAAAGCGCTGACAATTCACTACTCTTATAGTACAAGAAACCTTTTAACTTCCATTAAAAAGTTACATTCCTGCTCTCATTGTTTATTATACTTTTGCATCACCTATTACTTCCTGTTGGTTTTAACCTCATTAATACACATAAATGTATTGCTGCTATGTGACGTAAGTCCTATATGCATGGTGATGAGCCTTACATAAAGAGAACATATGACCAGATTATCAAAACAAGTAAAGAAGAAACACACTAATCTGAAATGGAATACCATATTCATAAAAGCATTTACTAAAGGGCAATCCACTATAACCTAGTGGCTTACCACGTTACATATCATGATTGGTAGAGCTTAAGATAATTGAGGTTATTGAGTTGTATTCATCTGTAGAATGTATACAAGATGCCTATGAGAATAGATTATAAGAATGAATCATATACAAGATATGAATTATATATAGATGAACATGTCGTGGATTATAACGAGCAAGGCAGCAGAAGCTGGAAGCTGCTTTGATTCGTTTTAGTCAGGGCTTTCCACAAACAAGTGGTGGTCGTGCTTGCCCAGCCACTCAACCAATCAATGGGTCAAGATACCAACTGAAATGGTGTTTTCCATCATCCCAGGGTCAACGTGGCCCCTGATAAAAAGCCTTTACATATTAACACATGTGATACAAACAGATAATACCAGTAGAATATTGTGTAGACAAAATCATTTATAAACAAATCCAACTCACAAAATACTTTACACCTTGATTCGTTTCCATGCATCGCCTAGTGTTGTTCCATGTTCAAAACGTCGCCAATCTTGTACATCAATTGGAAACAAACCTTGGGTCACAGCCATTAGTCCTTTGCATGCCACGACATGTGATCGGCTGTATACCTTGACAAATATAAGCGCTGCAATCTAGGTGTTAGTGGAAAGTATCTAAGCACTTTAGCCGGGACTTTTCTGGTATCACCATTCTCCTCCACATCTTGTTTTTGGTACCTATTTTGCCCACAATGATTACAAGAATCATCAAGTATAGATTCTTTCCAGTATAGCATACAATCATTCGGACACGCATCAATTTTTTGGTATGTCAAACCAAGATCCTCAATTAACTGCTTTACATCGTAGAAGCTGTTCGGTAATGTCTCCCCATCTGGAAGAATAATTTTTACCAACTTTAACATGATATCCATTCCCTTATCAGTTGAACCTGACAAGCATTTGGCTTGGTACAGTTTAACAAGAAACTCTAACTTCTTCATCTTCGTTGAACCAGCATACAAGTGTGTGTTTGCATCATTGAGTAAGTCATAAAACTTTTCTGCATACTCGGCTCGCACATTAGTAGTTTGACCCTCTGTATCAACATGGCCATCATTCGCAGAGCTATCGCTCCCAAAAACATCATACAAGACATTGTGGATTTCATTAACTGTGGGTTCACACAATTCTTGTTCTTCTACCTCCTCCATGAAGTCAGGGTCAGGTAAATGTTCACCATGAAAAACCCAGACTTGATCTTCATAATGTGGATCCATCCCTTCATACAATAAGTGTGCCCAAACAAGATTTGTTTCACGCCAAAACCGATTATAACACTTCTTGCAAGGACATTTGAGCATCCCATCGTGAGATGCAACAAGCAATGAATCATCAATAAATTGTTGCAGACACGTCTTATATTCTTCACCTGCCTTATCTAATTTAACCCCAGATTTATCCATAACAACTGGAAACAATCACAAGATGAAAAATTTAATCAAGGCAACCCCATCAGGCAAAAAGTTCATAAATGCAAATTTAATCAAGGCAACCCCACATGGTCAAATACCAATATTAAACAGATAGTATCAAATTTTTCAAGAAGGCAGGGAGGACTCAAATTTGATGATGTAAATATTAACCATTTAGGATCCAAATAATAAATGAAAATCAAATTAAGAATCTATAAGACCTAACAAGTAAGGATTAAGATTTTATGATTGATAAAACAACATACAAAAATAAGGAGGTAGAACCTCGGATCGGGGATAGAGGCGCCTTTAGAAATTCAACCGCTGCACTGGAGTAGGAGTAAGAAGATAGTCTTGGAAGAAACCACTTGGGCAAGAACAAACTGTGTTCTTCAAGAGCGCTGGCAATGGAGCTGCCGCTGGAATGAATTTGATCTCAAATAATCGCAGGGAAGGATGGATGCGAGAAGAAGTTGTATTCTTTATTACCAATTAGAAGCAACTGTGAATTGTAATTTTATTGGAGTGTTTTTCCGTTTTGCTGGAAGTATTGGAAAGTTAATTTAAATTGTAATAAATTGTTTTCTTTGAATTTGGATAAATTTGCAATACTTTATTGGTTAACCATTGTAATATTTAATTGTTTTTGTATACGTCTTTCTTTTTTGTTGTGTTCTATACATATTTAATTGGATTACTACTTTCAAAGAAGATTATTCTCAAATATTATATTCAACAAATTACTGTTCATGTGTCAGTTGGTTTACATTTATTATATTTAAATCAATACTCACCAATTCTTTAAAGTGTGAGATAATTAGTCACAAATAATGGTGACTAGTAACCAACACTACTACAAAAAAGGCAAAAGATGACGGGAATTCACCGTCGTGTATTCGGTTTTCAAACCGTCGTGAAATCGACCGACATCTATTTGAGTGTCAAACTACGACGGCTTTTCACTGTCGTTGTTTATCTGTAACGACGACGGTTTTTAAAGAAAATCGTCGTTGTTTAGAGGTAAATATCGTCTTGTATTGTATGTAAAGAGAAAAGACGATTGTTTTTAATAAAACCGTCTTGTATTGTATGTAAAGAGGACGATTTTTTATGAAAACCGTCATGGATTGTTTATAAAAACGACGGTTGTTTTATAAAAACTGTCATCTGTACATTCAATAGACGACCTCTTTAAAAAAGGTCATCTCTACTTAACAATAGACGACCCTTTAAAAAAAAACCGTCATCTTTACTTCTTAATAGACGACGATTTTTATAAAAAGCGTCATCTTTACATATAATAGACGACGGTTTGTATAAAAATCGTCATCTTTACATATAATAAACGACGATTTCTTTAAAAAAAATGTCATCTTTACATATAATAGACGACGATTTTTTTTATAAAAAGCGTCATCTTTACTTCATAATAGACGACCCTTTTTTAAACAAACCATCATCTTTACATATAATAGACGACACTAGTGGATACAACAAAATCTTATGTTATATTTAACGAAAGTATAAATAAACTCTTAATTGTTAGTGAATATATTGTTTTGATGGCATACACATTTTAAGAAACTAGTTTCAACGATCCAACCGTCAAACTTGTTTGTTTATACTTCGAGATCATATACGCCAAAAATCGGAAAAAATAAACATTCAGAGATCAAGTAACAGGACAAAAAATTTCGACAGTTATAAATAAAAAATCATGATTTAACGGTTATTTTAACTCCGATTTCGATGATTTTTTTACAGCTACACTCCTTGACCCTATATGAATACAATGACTGAATTTGATCTTCAATTTAAAATATTTACACTAGTGGATACCACAAAATCTTATGTTATATTTAACGAAAGTATAAATAAACTCTTAATTGTTAGTGAATATTTTTTTTGATGGCATACGCATTTTAAGAAACTAGTTTCAACGATCCAACCGTCAAACTTGTTTGTTTATAATTCGAGATCATATACGCCAAAAATCGGAAAAAATAAACATTCAGAGATCAAGTAACAGGACAAAAAATTTCGACGGTTATAAATGAAAAATCATGATTAAACGGTTATTTTAACTCCGATTTTGATGATTTTTTACCACTACACTCCTTGACCCTATATGAATACAATGATTGAATTTGATCTTCAATTTAAAATATTTATACTAGTGGATACCACAAAATCTTATGTTATATTTTAACGAAAGTATAAATAAACTCTTAATTATTAGTGACTATATTATTTTGATGGCATACGCATTCTAAGAAACTAGTTTCAATGATCCAACCGCCAAACTTGTTTGTTTATACTTCGAGATCATATACGCCAAAAATCGAAAAAAATAAACATTCAGAGATCAAGTAACGAGACAAAAAAATTCGACGGTTATAAATGAAAAATCATGATTCAACGGTTATTTTAACAAACCATCATCTTTACATATAATAGACGACATTTTGATTTATTTATAAAAAGCGTCATTTTTACATATAATAGACAACCTTTTTTTATAAAAAAGCGTCATCTTTATATATAATAGACGACCATTTTTTTAAAAACCGTCATCTTACTTCATACTAGACGACGATTTTTTATAAAAGCGTCATCTTTACATATAATAGACAACGGATTTTATAAAAAGCGTCATCTTTACATATAATAGACGACGGTTTGTATAAAAATCGTCATCTTTACATATAATAGACGACGGTTTGTATAAAAATCGTCATCTTTACATATAATAGACTACCTATTTGTAAAAAAAACGGTCATCTTTACTTCATAATAGACGACCCTTTTTTAAACAAATCATCATCTTTACATAAAATAGACGACCTTTTTTTAAACAAACCATCATCTTTACATATAATAGACGACCATTTTAAAATAAAAAACCGTCATCTTTACTTCATAATAGACGACCCTTTTTATAAAAAAAAACTGTCATATTTACTTCATAATAGATGACCCTTTTAAAAATAAAAAAAAACCGTCATCTTTACATATAATAGACGACAGTTCTTTCAAAACAACCATGTCTTTACCAAAAAAAGGACACTTGATTTTTAGAAGACGACGCTTGTCATACCTGCTGTCGTTTTTTGGTCAGATTTTAACTATGAAGAAAACTTTTTTAATGAGACGACGCTTTTTTATTTGTATACGTCGTTATAAAAAAATATTCAACAGTACCTCCGTTTTTTAGTTGTTTAAGTCACTTATCCACGACGGTTTTTTGTTACCGTCGTCTTTTTAAATACAACTACGGTTTTTTCTTCTACTGTCGTCTTTTTTTCGTCGTCTTTTTTCACTTTTTGTAGTAGTGCAAAGTCATTGACCACCCACTCAAATGTCACCAAAACTATTTTGTTGCTATAAAAAGGTGACTAATGCTTTCTTTTTTTGTAGTGATAGCAGTAAAAAAATTAAAAACAAAACACCAAAAAACAATCTGTCATAGAAAATAACAAAACAAAACAAAAGAAGGTAATAAGATTGAATGACTTACGTACATTAATATGAAAGAACATTGTTTGGTTCATTTATTATAATTTAGTGTGACTAGTTTGTAAAGAGTTATTCTTATGAAATGGGGATCGAACTCAGTACCAGAAAACTGCTTAAATGAACTGGCCTAATTTAAATTTGTCACCTTCAAACTCTTATTTGTATAAAAGAAGAAATGACTTAATTTAAGGAAAGAAGTGACTATAAAAATACCATTTATATTCAGGCAGTTTATAGCATTTATATATGTTTTGCATAAATTTTATAGCTTTTTGAAGTAACAAAACCCAAGTTCCAAAAATATAATTAACTTGAGTTTTCCTTGCTGAAACGAGTCCTCTTAAATGTAAAAAATATTCAATCATGTGTAGGAAGTAGGAACTATAAATTAAATCACACCATTGCAAATGAGATTGTACTATTTTAATTCAATTTCACGCAACAAAATTCCACTCAAATTGAGGTATGGTTTGGCCAACAGGGTAGACAGGCAAAGTAAATTTGGCTTTGAAAGTGTCAAAGACTTGATGCTTCATAGACTGAAGTGATCACAGAAGATATTGTGCTTTTTCTACTATTTCAGAAACAGTTTCGAGGGCTCTATCTAGGGCTTTTTGACCGTCTTGAATACTGTGGTAAGATCTGCTATGCGTGTGGTGCCGATCCCAGAAAAAATATAAAAAATTTCATAAAAAATTTCCTATTAATATGCACTTACTGACAAAAGATGTCTCTGAAAAATTGCTTTACTACTCTATGATGTAACGTGCCACATTGTTCTATGCCTAACATGCACTACACAAAAGATAAGTGCGATTGGAATATGTGATATCATAAATCATCTCTATGTAATATAAGATTTAGAAATATAACCAGTCGAGACCCTTCTGAGTGGTTCAATTTCTAGAGTCTTACAAATTCAAGTATGAATTTGAAATGATCCCAAAATTCGGGAGTTATATATAATTGACCCTAAAAAAACAAAAGATATCCTCTGGCAAGTGGAGGTGGCAAAGTTGAAACTTGCAAGTTCCATTTGGTTGGATACAATAGTGACCGAGTGATGTGAGAGTCAAAGATACTTGAGCAACAACACCAGTGCACCACACAAACATGCATACATTATAGATAAAGACTGAACAAGTTGCCTTGCAGCTAGCTTAGCTTAGATGAGCTCCTCAAGAAACTTCTGGAGTGATTGAAATACCCTCATGTTCAGTAATGGATTCACTTCCCAACTAGTTAAGAATCTAGACTGCGAGTTAAGAAGAGAAATCTTTTTAATTCATCGTGACGTGATGTTACTAATTTATGTCTTTACAGTTCAATATAATTTATTTAGGTCACAGATTTTGGTATTTTGGTTGACACTGACCTGTTAATAAAAAAAAAGCCTTACTATTTTGTTCAAAAGGCGCTCTAAAGGTGGTGAATAGGATAACACCAACTTTTATATTGAACAGACATATTTGATTCCATAAATAAAAATAATGAAAATGATAATTCACACACAGTAATCATCATATGATTCTATTTTTCAACCAAACTATATAGAAATTGGAAATGATATCCCTTCAATAATTATATTATTCCCACACTGAACTTATAATTAGTGGTGATGGCCTCGTAAAATATCCTCAATAAAAGCATCAAGGTTCCTGTCAGATGAGCCACCTTTAGCAATTGCTCCGTGACAAGTCTCCTGAAGTTGTTTCGCTCTTTTCCTCATCTCTTTCCCCTCCTTGCTTTCAAGATCCATAAACCTCTGCACAAGTTCTGCAATCTCCTCTCTGGTCACCAAATGTTCATGTTCAGTAGCCCCCACGTTCTTCTTCAGCACCCTGTATCCAATCTTCCAATCTTCCACAATTTTCTTAGCGTTGAGGATTTGATCCCCTAATATAGGGCAAGTGAGAATTGGAACACCAGCATAAACAGCTTCTAGGGTTGAATTCCAACCACAATGTGACAAAAACCCACCAATAGAATCATGGCACAACACCCTCAATTGGTCACACCAAGACACCACCAAACCCTTATCACCAACACCATCTTTCAACTTAGAGGCATCCCCACGAGCCACCCACAAGAACCTAGCGCCACTGTTTTGCACCCCAGCAACGATTTCATCCATTTGGGCTTTTGAAACTGAGAGGAAGCTTCCCAGAGAGATGTACAGGACTGAGTGTTTAGGTTGAGAATCTAGCCAATTATAGAGGTAATTGTGATTAGTGGGAGGACTTTTTGAAAGCTCAAAGTAAGGTATGCTTGGGCCAAAAGGGTAGATAGGCAAAGCAAATTTGGCTTTTAGATTGTCAAACACTTGGGGCTCAAATTCGTAGACTGAAGAGGACACAAGATATTGTGCTTTATATATGCTACGCACAATTTCCAGTTTTATCTTCAACACTTTCAGACCGTCTCCATTCAACTCCGTGGGAAGATCTAGATCTGCTATTACCTCATCATCTCCCCACTCTTTTCAACACAAAACAAATATTAATGCGTAAGAAAAGGTTTGGAATATTAATATTACAGTTCTTATGTGCCCTTATGTATTAAATAACGAATTGTCAATAACATGTCAAAAACAAAACGTATTAAAATGAGAGAATTGTTGTAGAATATAACATTCAAATTTGGGTGGTAATATAATAATTATGCAACGATGCACGCACCTGAGATCACCGACGCCGACATGGGCCAGAGTGAAGCCACCGGAATATTCCTCCGGCTCGCAACACTCGTAGCCCAAACAACGCAGGGATCAGCAACAATGGCGCTCACCGGCTGCTCAAGCCGGTCCAGTAGCTGCTCAACCGGAGCTTCCAATTTGGTGTTCAGAGCTTCCACGAATCCAAGAAGGTCGTTTGCACGAACAAGCTCGGAGGGTATGAGGTTTGGTACAGTGGCAAACCGGATGGTGTGGGGTTTCTGGTCGGATTCCATGAAGCCGTGCCACTCTTCGGTGACGACGAAGGTGATGAGGATGTCGGGTTTCTTTGAAGACAGTAGTTTGCAGAGGTTCATCATGGAGTTGATATGGCCTCTGCCAGGGTAGGGCAGAGCCACGACGTGGCAGACACTGGTGGGTGGTGGTTCTAATTCTCTGGTGGAATCCATGTCCGATTTCATGATTCAATGAAATGAGTAATTAGTAATAAAGTTGAAGTTGGTCGCTGCATATATGCACGCGCAAGGGAGGGGCTTTTAAGGACCAAGTCTTTTCTTCTTGTTTTTTATGGGTGATAATATGACTCGAGCAGGTTTTCGTTTTTAAATACTTTTTCGTTACAATAATTGATTGAATAACATGGTTGAGGTCCAGGTTCAGCGTCTATCAAAGATTATCCGAGGAGAGAGGAAGTGTTGAAAATAAGGAAACAGGTGAAGAAAAAAAAAACTTATTTGTGGAATTCAAACTTCACTTCTTAATCAACTTGAATACTGAATACAACTTAAATAGCAAACTAACAAAGAAACTAAGCTAAATAGTAGAAACAACTACTCCACTACTAAACCATGATATTCAGCCACTAACCATAACTCCATGACAACTTGGACTCTCCTATTAACAACCAAGTCCTTAAAGAGTAGGATTTCCACAACTTAACAAGATAAACATAAACATAATAAATAGAATAATAAATATTCTTAACACCCTCCCTTAAACTGAATGTTCTGCAGATAATCAGTTTAAAGATAAAACTTCAATTCTTCAACCATCAACAAGCAACATCCTTCAAAGAACTAACTCCCAACAAATTTCTCAATTTTACAAACACATGCAGCTTGAGAGGCTTGGTAAAAAATATTAGCAATTTGGTCCTCAGTTTTACAATAAATCAGATCAATAACATCATCCTTGCAGAGATCACGAAGAAAATGATATCTCACATCAATATGTTTGCTTCTTCCATGCAAAACTGGATTTTTTGAAAGCTTAATAACATAAACATTATCACAATAGATTGACGTTGGACCTTGTTGCATGTAGTGAAGTGCTTCAATTAACCTTCTCAGCCAAATGGCTTGGCATGCACAGGATGCTGCTGCAACAAATTCAGCTTCGGTTGTTAATAAAGTCACAATCGGCTGCTTCTTAGATGACCAGGCAACTGCCTGAACCCATCATAAACACATATCCTGAAGTGCTCCTTCGATCATCTTGATCTCCCACATAGTCATTGTCTGTAAAATAAAAACAAACCAGACTTTGCTTCCTTCTTATAGACAACACCAAAATCAACCGTACCTTTTAAGTAGCAAAAAATTCTTTTTGCTGCTGCAAGATGAAGCTTTGTAGGATTCTCCATAAAATGACTAATAAGACTCACATGGATGAGGGCTAATTTGCATATTGAGAAGTAAGTTGTGTCTTACTAAAAGGAAGGAGCATCAGTCCGCTAGAAGGTTGCAGCTTTGCCTATATCCCTGATAAAATTATCAAGGTTTGTATCAGATGAACCCCCTTTTGCAATTGCTTGATGACACAAATCACTGCGTTCTTTTGCTCTTTTCCGCATTTCTTTTCCATCACTGTTTTCAAGATCCATAAATCTCTTCACGAGCTCAGCAATTTCTTCCCTTGTCATCAATTTCTCATCTTGTACCTCTGTCTTAACCCTCCCGCCAATCCTCCATTCTTCAACAATTTGCCTGCTGTTGGGCAGTTGATCAAGGAACAGAGGGAAAGTAAGCATTGGAACACCAGCGAAAACAGCTTCCAGAGTGGAGTTCCACCCACAATGAGTCCAAAAACCACCAACAGAAGAATGGCACAACACTTTCAGTTGCTCACACCAAGACACCACCAACCCCATTTCACCATTGCAGCTCTCTTTCAACCGAGAAGCCTCCCCCCTAGCAACCCACAAGTACCGAATCCCGCTATTCCTCAGCCCTGCTGCAATTTCGTCCATTTGGGTGCTCGAAACTGAAAGAAAACTGCCCAACGAGATGTACAAGACAGAGCCTTTCGGCTGAGAATCAAGCCATTTCAGATAGTCAATGCTATTGTCTGCAGCTGATACAGAGCAATTGTGTTCAAGCTCTAGATAAGGTATGGCGGGACCAATTGGGTACACAGGGAATGGGAATTCTGCTTGTAAAGAGTCAAAGATTTGACGTTCCAGCTCATAAACGGAAGTAAACAGAAGATACTGTGCTTTTGGAACCCATGAAATGCACTCCAGAGCAAGCTTAATGACTTTTGGGTCGTTTCCCTTGAACACTTCTCCAAGGTCTGCTAAATCAGTAAAAGAAACCCCTGGTATTTGATCTCCACAATCTATCACAGAGAAACAAATCAAGCCCAATTTCCACATCAATTTCAATTTGGGTTATCAAAAGATATATATGCAGATAGACTTACCAAAAAACTCAACTGGGATGTTCTTGTTTTGTGAGAAAACATTAAAACGGTGTAGCATGGACAAAAAGGTGGCTGACATAGTCCAAAACAAAGACACCGGAATATTCCTCCGAATCCCAAACCCAACACCCCACCGAACCTCAATATCAGCTATGACAGCTGATACTGGCGGCTCGAGGCGATCGAGCAGCAGCTCAAACGGAGCTTCCATCTTGGTCATGACAGCTTCGTAGAAGCCCGGAAAGTCGGCGGCTTTGAGACGCTCGGGAGGGATGACGTTTGGGATGGAGGCCAACCGGATGTTGTCGGGTTTCGGGTCGGAGCTGATAAACCCGCGCCACTCTTCGGTGACGACGAAGGTGATGAGAAGTTGGGGGTTTTTGGAAGCTAGTAACTTGCAGAGGTTCATCATAGGGTTGATGTGGCCTCGGCCAGGGAATGGTATCGCCGCCACGCGGCTGACGGTGACTGAGTCAACGTCGGAGGTAGCCATGACTCTTATGACGTTTTAGAGAGAGGTCTTAACGTTTTTGTCTTTCAGGCAGGCAAGTCATTTATACAGAGTTTCATTTATTTTTAATAAAATAATATTAAAATGTATCACTGTTACCTAATAAATTCAGCTCCCTATTTCGGAAGAGGGGATGAAAAACCGACGCCGACAGTGTGGAAAGCGAAGCCACCGGAATATTTCTCCAGCGGCCTGCGGGAACTGCCCAGAGAAGCTCGATGTCGGCTATAATGGCGGTCACCGGAGGATGAATTTGATCTAGTAGCTTTTCGAACGGAGCTTCCATCTTCGTCATCACGGCTTCGTAGAAGGCGGGATAGTTGGCGCCACGAACTAGCTCAGAGGGAAGGACGTTGGGTATGGTACGGAAGCTGATGTTATTGGGTTTCGGATTGGAGCCTATGAAGCCAAGCCACTCTTCGGTGACGACGACGGTGATTTGAATGTCGTTTTTCCTGGAAGCTAGTAATTTGCAGAGGTTGGTCATGGGGTTGATGTGGCCTCTACCAGGATAAGGCACCGCCACTACATGGAGGACGTTGGAGGAGGTATCCATTTATGCCTTGGATTTCTGCTTACTACCCCTGTTTGTATAAATGCTTGTGACTGCAATTTTTTCAGTGTTTTGTTTTATCCTCTGGATGATTGATTCTTTTTTGGGAGTTTTACTAAAACACCCAAAATGGGACTGAAATTATAAAAAAAACTCAACACCCAAAATATTTTATAAACACACCCAAAACTCATCATTACACACACTCAAAACCCATTTATAAACACACCCAAAAAATATATAATTGTTGATTTTGAGGTTGATTTTGGGTGTGTTTCTATGTTTAAATAGTGCTTGGGTTCTTTTATAAATACATGTCTAGAATTGGGTTTATTTATAAATTTGTATTCTTTTTTTCATGTTAAAATAGGTTTCATTTGTTTAGAGTGCCCTTTGGACGATGGTTAATATGAAATTGTCAAAATTTTCGTTTTTGATAACGCGATATTTTAAATTATTAAGAGTGCAACTCGATTGCAAGAGACGAACACACTGCGTTAACAAACTAACCTAACTTATATAAGATACCGGCTTTTATTTTAAATTAGGTATATTATTTCATTTCAAACATTCACTAAACAATAAAATAGAGTCTATAATCGATTCTGAAAAATCTGATGCCAATTTTTAACCAAATGATGGAATGCTAGAATACTGTGGTAAGATCTGCCATGCGTGTGGTGCCGATCCAGGCTGCAAGTTAAGAAGACGAATCTTTTTAAATCATCATGACGTATGACGTAATGTTATTAATTTATGTGTTATAATATGAATGTTATCTTTACAGTTGAATATAATTTATTTAGGTCACAGTGTAACATTTCAATTTCAAATGTTCAAAACTAATCAGATTTTGGTATTTTGGTTGACACTGACCTGTTGATAAAAAAAGGTCGTACTATTTTGTTCAAAAGTGGGCTCTAGAGGTGGTGAATGGGACAACACCAACTTTTATGTTGAATAGGTATACATATTTGATTCCATAAATGAAAATAATGAAAACGATAATTCATTACATAGCAATCATCATGATTTTATTTTTCAACCAAACTAAATAGAAATTAGAAATGATATCCCTTCAATAATTATATTATTCCCACAAACCCAACACAAATCATGAACTTATAATTAGTGGTGATGGCCTCGTGAAATATCCTCAATAAAAGCATCAAGGTTCTTGTCAGATGAGCCACCTTTCGCAATTGCTCCGTGACAAGTCTCCTGAAGTTGTTTCGCTCTTTTCCTCATCTCTTTCCCCTCCTTGCTTTCAAGATCCATAAACCTCTGCACAAGTTCTGCAATCTCCTCTCTGGTCACCAAATGTTCATGTTCAGCAGCCCCCACCTTCTTCTTCAGCACCCTGTATCCAATCTTCCAATCTTCCACAATTTGCTTAGAATCAGGCATTTGATCCCAAAATATAGGGCAAGTGAGAACTGGAAGACCAGCATAAACAGCTTCCAAAGTTGAATTCCAACCACAATGTGACCAAAACCCACCAATGGAATCATGACATAACACCCTCAATTGGTCACACCAAGGCACCACCAAACCCTTATCACCAACGCCGTCCTTCAACTTAGAGGCATCCCCACGAGCCACCCACAAGAACCTTACACCACTATTCCGCACCCCAGCGACAATTTCATCCATTTGGGATTTCGAAACCGAGAGGAAGCTTCCCAGAGAGATGTACAAGACTGAGTGTTTAGGTTGAGAATCAAGCCAATTGTTGAGGTCATTGTGATCAGTGGGAGGACTTTCTGAAAGCTCAAGGTGAGGTATGCTTGGGCCAATTGGGTAGACAGGGAAAGCAAATTTGGCTTTCAAAGTGTCAAAGACTTGAGGCTCAAGCTCGTAGACTGAAGTGGACAAAAGATATTGTGCTTTATCTGCTACTCCAGAAACAGCCTCAATGGCTCTGTCCAGGACCTTTTGACCGTCTGCATAGAATATTGTGGGAAGGTCTGCAATGGACGTGGTGCCAAGTCCAGGGATATAGTCTACTATCTCATCTCCACGCTCTACGCATTATACAATTAGCACAGAGAAATAGAGAAAGAACATCAATAAATATTTGCATTGAGATAAAATTATTTTTGTTACATGTAAAAGGCTTTGAGATTTTCATTCAACAGTTTCATACAAAACCAAGTTTCAAATTATGGGGTTCTCAATATTGAAGAAAAAGGCTTATACTAGATTTTATAGAGACAGAAGATCATGGCGTATCAAATTGATACGAGTAAAGTCATGGTCAAATTCTACATTTGACATGCACAATTTAACTTTTTTTTTGTGTTTGGTTTGAAAAAAGTGCTCGAAAAGTCACATTAATTAAATGGCTTTAAAAAATTTTAAAAATAAAGTGAATCGTATACGTTACATGCTCTTTTAATAGCGAGAAACCCTTAGTTGCAAAACAATGTTATTCCCATCTTATGTCTTATGCAAAGTGTTTCGCCAAATCGGCGACTAGAAGTCACGCACTGTTTTATCCCTTGGCATGTAGCAAGTGGCAAAATTCAACTTTGCCATTATTGAATTTGTTGTCTTGCCACAAGCTAAGTGATTGCAAATTCTTTTTCACTTTATAAATTAAAAATAATCAAAGATTTTAAGCAACTCTTTTTCTGGTGAAAATTTGAAGCGACTAAACAGTAAAGTAAGTGGGCGTAGATGTGGACGCACCTGCCACATCAAGAGGGAATTGTCCGTTCTGTTTGAGGAGCTCAAAGTGATGGAAAAATGAGAACACCGACGCCGACATAGGCCAAAGCGCAGCCACAGGAATATTCCTCCGGTTCCCGACCCTCACAGCCCAAACAACGTACGGATCAGCAACTATGGCGCTCACCGGAGGCTCGAGCCGGTCCACAAGCTGCTCAAACGGAGCTTCCAACTTGGTGCTCACGGCTTCCACGAAGCCAGGAAAGTCTTTTGCTCGGACGAGCTCGGAGGGGATGGCGTTTGGTAGCGTGGCGAATCGGATGTTGTCAGGTTTCGGGTCGTATCCGATGAAGCCGTGCCACTCCTCGGTGACGACGAAGGTGATGAGGAGTGTGTTGTCGGGTTTCTTTGAGGATAGGAGTTTGCAGAGGTTCATCATGGGGTTGATGTGGCCTCTGCCGGGATAGGGTAGCGCCACCACGTGGCAGACTGAGATGTGGTTGTCTTTTACTGTTCCCATTTTCTCTCTTTTTATGGAAGATTGAAGATGAAGTTTGAAGAAAGCTTTATATAGAATAAAATGAAGATTGAAGAGATTATCATGAAATTCCTCGAAAGACGAAATTACCCCTCGGCGAAACAGTGTTATCCATTACAAATACCAATCCAACGGCTCCAAATATACATATGTATAAATAGGTATATTTGATTCCTTATATATTTGGTTCATGCTTTTTCCATGAATTTGCATTGATAGCGCACCCCTCACTTTGATTCCAAATATACATTAATAGAAAACCTCGCTTTAAGGTATCCTACATATTATTGCGTTATTGATCGAGATAGCAAAAAGTGATATCATTGATGTTCGACTATTAACACGTTGCCCTCTTGCCAGCAAGAGATAATGACAAAATTGCTTAGGTGTTAATGAGTTTGTTTAGCATATTGCTGCCCACATGTTGGACTTTTAGGTATATTTGATTCCATCATTATGATTAATCAAGTAATCAAAACTAAACAAATCATGAACATAAATAATGGTGACCTCCTTGTGAAATATCCTTGATAAACGCATCAAGGTTGGTGTCAGATGAGCCACCTTCAGCAATTGCTCTATGACAAGTCTCTTCAAGTTGTCTTGCTCTTTCCCTCATCTCCTTCCCCTCCTTGATTTCGAGATCCATAAACCTCTGCACAAGTTCAGCAATTTCCTCTCTGGTCACCAAATGTTCATGTTCTGCCCCCACGTTCTTCTTCAATACCCTGTATCCAATCTTCCAATCTTCCACAATTTGCTTAGCGTTGGGAACTTGGTCCCAAAATATAGGACAAGTGAGAATTGGAAGACCAGCATAAACAGCTTCCAAAATTGAATTCCAACCACAATGTGACCAAAACCCCCCAATAGAATCATGACACAACACCCTCAATTGGTCACACCAAGGCACCACCAAACCCTTATCACCAACACCATCCTTCAACTTAGAGGCATCCCCACGAGCAACCCACAAGAACCTAACACCACTGTTCTGCACCCCAGCAACAATTTCATCCATTTGGGCTTTTGAGACTGAAAGGAAGCTTCCCAGGGAGACGTACAGGACTGACTGTTTGGGCTGAGAATCTAGCCAATTTAGATAACCGAGGCCATCATTGTGATTTATGGGTAGACTTTTAGAAAGTTCAAAATGAGGTATGGTTGGGCCAATAGGGTAGACAGGCAGAGCAAATTTGGTTTTGAACGTGTCAAAGACTTGAGGTTCAAGCTCATGGACTGAAGTGAACAAAAGATATTTTGCTTTTTCTACTACTTGAGCAACAGTTTCAATAGCTCTGTGGAGGACTTGTTGATGATTGTCTCCAAAGAATACTGTGGGAAGATCTGCAACGCTTGTGGTGTTGATTCCAGGGATGTAGTCTATTATCTCATCTCCACGCTCTTTCATTTACGCATTTCACAAATAGACACAGAGAAACATATAAAAAGAGCAATTTCAATAAATAAAATTGCATTATTGAGAAAACATTATTTGATAAAGTGAGAAAGAAAAAAGAAAAAAAAGGTTTGTGATTGCATTCAAACTTTGTAATTCAAAATTGAGGAGCAGTTCGTCTTTAAAACAAATGGACACTTGTTAAATTTTTTTAACATTTTCTTTTTTGGGAATTTGACAAGCGTAAAACTCTCATTTGTTGTGAAGAGGAGCTCCTCCTCCTCAATTTTAACGAGCCAAGCCATACTAATGAAAAACGGTAGTAATACGAAATGCATTCCTACAAATCGCATATCGTGATATGAATGCATAAACTTTTCTTTTTTGAGTTAGTTTTGCATATAAATGTGATTTGTCTGCAAACTGTATGAAGAATGACTTCTTACATGTAAGCAGTCAAGCAGTGTAACTTTGTAAGGTGAAAATAGGGTTGGCATGAGAGTCGACTTTCAACAACACGTGGGGTCACCCACATGCTGACATGCATGTAGCGTACGAGTATATGCCATAATAACAATCAATTATCATGTCCCGATGTAAACCTAACAATCGACGTACCTGACAAGTCAGCAGGGAAGTGGCCCTTCTGTTTGAGCAGCTCAAAGCTATGGAGCACCGTAAACACCGACGCCGACATTGTCCACAGTGAAGCCACAGGAATATTCCTCCGGTTCCCGACCCTCACGGCCCAGTCAACAAAAGAGTCAGCAACTACGGCGCTCACTGGAGGCGCCTCAGCCTCGAGCCCATCCAGAAGCCGCTCGAAGGGAGCTTCCAATGCGGTATTCACGGCCTCAAAGAACCCCGGAAAGTCGTTAGCGCGGACCAGCTCGGAGGGGATGACGTTTGGTAGCGTCGCAAACCGGATGTTGTCGGATTTCGGGTCGGATCCGATGAAGCCGTGCCACTCTTCCGTGACGACGAAGGTGATGACGAGGGTGTTGTCGGGTTTCTTTAAAGACAGTGATTTGCAGAGGTTCATCATGGGGTTGATGTGTCCTCTGCCGGGATAAGGCAGGGCCACCACGTGGTAGACGGGGATTGGCTCAAGTTTTTCTGTGGCCATTTCTCTTGTGTGAGGATTGAAGCTTTATTGCTATATTGTTGGTGTTTGCTGTTTCAGACAGTCAGTCTACTATAAAACATCGAAGATTGAAGCAGATGACTGATTAGTTAGCTTTCATGATCATGATTCATGAAGCGGGTTGAAAGACGGAAATACCCCTCGGTTGCGGTAGAAATTAACACTTGGGCCTTATACGTCCTTTGGGAACTAGAGCCTGCTTATGCGCGGACTAATTTTATATGTTACGGGTGACTGGTGTACCATATAATATATATGGGCTATGTTAAAACATTCTCCAAATTAAATGGAACCCACCTCTTAGCGGATGGGTCAAATTGAATTTTGATGATTTTGTCCGGAATGGTTCTGCGGCTACTGGCTTTGTTATCCAAGATTTTGATGGTCATATTCTACTGATTGGTGCTAAGAACATTGGTGACAATACCATTTATGTGGCAGAATGTATTGCCTTGCGAGATGGCCTCGCTTATGCAGCTCATAAAGGATGGCGCAAAGTTCTTGTTGAATGAGGTTCTAAACTTATTACTGACTGCGTTAATCAGAAAGCTTTTGCCCCGTGGAGTATCAACCTCTTGATTAAAGATATAGTGCTTATCAGCTCCTTTTGTGATTCTTGCTCTTTCAGTCATGTATTCCGTGAGGCTAATTTTACGGCTGATGTTGTTGCTAGCTTTGGTCATGGGCTAAATCCTTCCAAGCTTTGGGAGGCCGGGCTGCCGCTGAATTGTTCAATCCCTTTCTTTTTTGACCTGTTGAGGCCTACGTGTTCTCGTGATTTTTGCTTGTAGTTCTTTTCTTTTTGTGATTTTTGCTTGTATTTTTATTTTTGTATAAAAATAAAGTATTTCTATACTAGAAAATACATGTGTTAGTGGACATAAAAATCAATTTGATACATGCGCAGTAACGTGAAGTAAACATGTTAAGGACAAAGTCCTTGGTTGCAAAATACATGTGTTAGTGGATCAATAAAACCACATGGTAAATCATACATCATAGTTTGTCAAACTCCATACAGAATTGTGGTAGGGCATGAAACCAATTCAAAACAGAAAGTGTCATCTTTTATTAAACCAAATTGTCATTAGAAATCTTGCTTGCATATGTCACTTACAAATGCTTCAAGATTGGCATAAGTCGAGCCACCCTTTCGAATTGCTTGCCGATAAATGTCCCTAAGCTCCCTCGCTTTTCTCCTCATTTCCTTACCCTCCTCACTTTCCAAATCCATAAACCTCCTCACAATCCCTGCAATTTCTTCTCTACCCACCAAACTTTCTTCTTCTCCCACCCCCTTCTTCTTCACCCTCCACCCAATCTTCCAATCCTCCACAATCATCTTGCTATTGGGGACCTGGTCCCAATATATAGGAAAAGTCAGCATTGGAAGACCAGCAAAAACAGCTTCTGAGGTCGAATTCCAACCGCAGTGGGACCAAAACCCACCTATAGAATCATGACATAACACCCTCAATTGGTCACACCAGGGCACCACAATCCCCATCTCCCCACACCTCTCTTTCAACTCAGAAGCTGCTTCACGTGCCACCCAGAAGAATCGAACCTTACTCTCCCTCAACCCATCAGCGATTTCATCCATTTGGGCTTTGGGAGCTGAATGCAAGCTCCCTTGCGACACGTACAAAACTGACCCAATAGGCTGTTTGTCTAGCCAATCAAAATAGCGGGCCTCACTGGGCCTTGATTCGGCCTCCACTTTGGAATGGGGTATGGTGGGCCCAATGTGATAAACAGGGATCGATGTGTTCGCCCTCAGAGCGTCGATCACTTGGGCTTCAAGCTCGTACACTGAAGGCAACGAACACAGAATCACGCTCTGTAGGATTTGAACCTACGACATCGGGTTTTGGAGACCCACGTTCTACCGAACTGAACTAAGAGCGCCTTATTATAATTATCACAATAAAGATTTTGTGACCCCAATTCATCTTGCATATATATCATAAAATTAAAGAATTGGGCTTTGGACAACGATGCAACGGATTCTAGTGCTCGATCCAATGCATTAACCCCTTTCCCGTGGAAACACGTGGGAAGGTCCGCCACACGTGTGGAAGGAAGTCCCGGGATGTAGTCCACGTGCTCTTCTCCTCGTTCTATAAAGAAAACACACATGTTGGTATTTGTTTGTTATTCCATTTTATTTTCTGTAATATCAGTAGTTATTATTTTTGAAGAAATTAGCACATGATACCTCTAAAAAGTCCAATACATTACTTAGTAAATTATAAGGATTATATTTCGAAACAATTATAATTACTAGAATTAAAGTCAAACCAAGAGAAGTATTTAAGTTACTGAGTTCGTTATGTACCTTCCAAATCGACGGGAAAATGACTGTGTTGGACGAGGAGATCGAAGAAATGGAAGACGGAGTAGACAGAAGCGGACATGGTCCATAGAGAAGCCACCGGAATATTCCTCGCATTCCCGATCTCGACGGACCAGACCAAGTACGTGTCGGCGATCAAGGCCGCGACCGGCGGCTGCAGTCGGTCGAGGAGGTCTTCGACCGGGGTTTTGATTTTTCTCAAAACGGTCTCATAGAATCCGGGAGAGTCAGCGCCGCGGCCGATCTCGGAGGGGATGACGTTGGGAATAGTAGCGAAGCTCGCGTTGTCGGGCTTCGGCTCCGAGCCGATGAAGCCGAGCCACTCCTCCGTTACGATAAATGTGACGATGATGTCTGTGTTGTAAGCGGCCGGGTTTAACGAAGCGAGGGAGTTGCAGAGGCACATCATGGGGTTGATGTGGCCGCGGCCGGGGAACGGCAGAGCCACCACATGGCGTGTGGTGATTGGTGAGGTTTTTGGGAGGCTCATTGGATTGGATTGGTTTGGGATTGGGGAGACGTCGGAAGGAGGTGGAGAGTCCAAAGCTCCAAGGGCATGCATATAAAAAGAAGAGCGGCAAGAAAACGACAAAACAAGTTTCCGATTTCCCAGTTTTCTTAGCCCAATTCAGCTGGATTTTCCGATTGAATGCCCGTCCTTAGTTGTATGTGTTTTGGATGGACCAAATTTAAAAAGTGGGCCGAATCATGAAAAGTAGAAGCCCGCTTCTAAATTTACTAAAATAAATTTTTTTACTGCACGGTTAGTGACAGTGAAATTATTATGGGCCCTACAAAACAAAGTATTTAAAGACCATACGGGAGAACCATGGTCCGCTGTGATTTGTCCCATTCTTTTACTTTCCTTCCCTAGGAGGACCACATAGAATTAGAAAGCCCAAAGGAAAAGGAAACTCGAAAAATATCTATTGACCATCACCAAAGTAACGTAGGAATTGGTTTGTCCAAAATTTCTTTCGTATGGGACTCATTCAATTATTTTTTTATTTAAATCATAATCTTAACAATTTTTATACCTAAGACTATATACTACAATATGATAAAAAGGTCTAGTCTAGTGACATCTAATTTCTGGTATATGTTGGACTTGTTAAATAAAATTTACCGCGTATAACATAAAGATAATTTCATATGAAATGAAAAACGAAAGAGAGAATGATTATGCATATCATTTTCCATGGGCACATATATATTGTTTGATCAAAAGAAGCAAACATTGTAAGCAACAATATATCAGTTTTTGTTGTGTGTGTGTGGGAAATGAACAGTATATTTAATTACGTTACATATCTTATGAAATCCCATAAGATATGAAGCTCTACCTAACATATATAATAATGCACATATTTCTCAACATCACCTGCAATGAAAAGCTTTAACGCTTTCAAAATTTGCTCTAGGGACCACAAATACACATTTCTTGATGAATCATTGCAAGACTTCAAATTCGTATTGAATTAATTAAAGTGGAATATTTGATTGCAACAACTAGCACATGGATTAATGAATGATTGGCATCCATTCCACGAGATTATCAATAATCTAGTTTGACAATTTGGTCTAATGACACTTAATCTTTACGTTGTACTAGAAAGTATTCTAAATTTAAATTTTATAGACGACAATTGTTAAACAAAAAAGAAAAAAAGAATTCCACACCACTCCATTGAAAAGTTTGAAAACATTTGGATATACTCATGTCACTTGACTTCTCTCTATGATCAATTTACCCTACAATGACTATTATAAATAGGACAATACTTCCCTTCTTACTATGTAAGTAGGAGCTCCTACATTCATGTTAATAGTAGTATGATATGTGTGCATACGTTTTTCTTTTTGTATTTTTGATAAATTATTTTTACATATATATCAAACTGTAATTCGCTAAAAAGAAAAGTATCTCCTTATAAAAAAGAGGCAAGCAGTATCTTATAAATACATCCTTATTGAGGTAAAGTTGAGTTGAGCTTGGTGATGCTGCAAGTCCAATTCCCATCACTATAATTACAAGACTATCAAGTATGGAAAAGGAGATAGGCATTTTCTACAAGATGGGCCTTACCACATATCATTTCAATTTTCATGATAAGTAGGCCCCAGAAACGGAGAATGTTTTGGAGTTAACCGAAACTGGTCCTCCTAAAAAAATAGATATTTTCAACTACTTTTAGTTAAATTAGAGATATTTTCATACGACAAACCCAAACACATGCAAAGCAAAAAGTCCATGGATGTTGGAGTGAGATATTTGTTGAGATCTTTCGAGCTATCTTTTTAGTCATCGCGTCACGAATCACACCTCTTCACAAATCGACCCTGCAACATAGAAAATAAGGTATTATCAAACGAACAATAATTTCAAAATATATCAATTTGGCAGAGAGAGAGAGAAGACAAAAACCTTGAGTCTTGGTCTTTTATCTGCGTTGAGTTTGCGGACTTGGTACCTTATCTTCTTGGAGAAAAGTCTAGACTGGCGCTTCTCTCTGTACCTTAGAACACTTGCTTCCCTTCTTGTTCTCTCTTCTTCCATCATTGGCACCTCTCCCATCTAAGTAAAGGATAATTAGACACAAAATTAAATATTAACACAACATTCTATACCTAAGAGAAGCCTCCTCATATATGCACATGACACTCATTTTACAATTTGCATGCAGTTTTACTGCTAAATCCAATTTGATAATGTCATCATGGACAAAAATGAATAAATAAAAATGTAAAATTTACATGTTTGGATTGGAACAGTACTATAAAGTACACCATTTAAAAGTGTTTTTTCATACCTCGAACATATTGAAAAGGAAGCGTCATGTGTTCTTGTTCAGAGCATATGAGAGTTATTCGTACTTTCTCATAAAAGAAGCATGAGAATACAACATAAATGCAAATAGCATTTCTCTTTTGAAACGAGGAAGAAACATGGCAGTAGAAATGCATGCTATATATATTAATGACATCCTATTTCTTCAAAATTGGCACCAAATGAAAGAAAACGAAACAAGGTTTTTTTTTAAAAAAAGAAAAAAGAAAAAAGTAAAGGAAGACATGAAATAAAGTTAATCAATTACTGACATAATTGCCATTGCTAGCCATGGAAGAACGTGAACAATCATCTGCCCAAAGAGGACCACGATCAGACCAAGCATCCAACACCTCTTGATAATTCAAATTCAAATTCAACTGCACCCTCTTCTCATCGTCCTCATCCCAAAACACAACACTCTCACTTTTTACGACCTTTCTTTCATAGTAGCTTTCATCTTCAAAAAAGCACCTATCTGCGGTTTGAAACACTTTCTGCTCAATCTCCTCCCCTTCTTCTCCTTTAGGAAACTCATCCCAATCCATAAAATCCCAATTAAGCTTGTGACCGCCGTACATGTTTTCACTCGGTAATTTTCCATCTTCCTCTTCTTCAATGCCCAAAATGCGCTCCCAGTCATCCATGATATCAACCACATGATCATCTCCATTGGTGTTAAAAGCATCATCTAATTTGGTAGTGGTAGTAGTAGTAGTGGTAGTGTCAGAGAATTCTTCACCAGAATTATTGATGCTGTCTGGCACCTGTTGCTCTTCCTTCTTTGGGCTTCTTAATAAGAATGAATGGTACCTCATCTTATCTTTGGTCTCTCTTTTTCTTTCTTTCTTTGTACACAATTTGAGTATAACAGATGATGATATGAGAAGGGAATGGAAGATGTAGTGGGAAATTTGTATGGTGTTTTTATCCTGCGTGGCACCTTATCTTCTAGCCATTGGCTGGTTCAAGGCCTCAGTATGAGTTGAAAGTCTACAGCTTGAAAAGGGTAAGAAGGGCCCTACAACCACAATCCATTTTCACTCCATGGAAAGGGGAGTTGGGGACCAATTACAAGACAGACTTTTTGAATTGCTGCATCGAGAAGAACGTGACCAAAAAAGTGTTGATAGCAATAAATTAGATATTTTATCAATTTCAAAGGGTTTGATCTAATTTGTTTCTGTATGTGTTCCAGCCTCCAGGTTTGTGCTCAGTTATAGTAGCAAGAAAAAGAGAGAACGTATTAAAGAAGCCCCGTGTAGTGTGTAGGTACATAATAATTGGAAAACGCCACCCAAAATGGTTGTTGGTATTCGACAGTTTGTGGGGCTTCGTTGGTTACCAAGATATTATCCCATGCGGCCCATTGTGTGCAGAAGACTAGCAGTCTGCAGAACATGTAAGTTTTTCTAGAACATATTAGGGCATTTTATATACATTGGCTCGTTTGCTAATTAGTATTGAATTGGATTAGATACTCCTTAATATTATCCCATGCGGCCCATTGTGTGCAGAAGACTACATGTAAGTTTTTCGAGAATATATTAGGGCATTTTATATACATTGGCTCGTTTGCTAATTAGTATTTAATTGGATTAGATACTCATTATATTATTAAAGCATGTTTAAGGAAGAAATGAATTATTTTAAAAACAAGTTGAAGGTAGAAACTTATCTCATCTAATTCCCACAAAATGATAGGATAGCAACACCTTATAACTAATCCCTCCTAATCCCCCAACATGAAAAGTCATTCATCTCTACATTCATTTCTTCCTTCAACATACCTTATATTTAGATTTAGTGACTTATCCAATCCAATTCTAGACATCAAATGAGCCTATAGGAGTTGCTCAGATATGTCAATGTTTGAGGCCCATATATGATATAACCCGTCTTTCATATATACAAACTCACTCATCTAAGAACCTAAAACTGAAATCCTTAGGCAAGCGGGATTGTTCATATATATAGCTTTGCAATAATATTCTTTTTGATATAATTGTTGTTAGCGAGATCCTAGCTTAATTAGGATTATATTTCTTTCCTTTTTGTATAGATATTGTGTAATTAGGTTTTTATCTTGTTTTCTAGTTTGATCCTACTAGGGTTACATCCTTGCACTATAAATACCTTATTTTGGATAATGAAATACAACCTGAAAAATATTCTACCCATATTATTTGACTATTGTTACTAGACAGTTTAACATTAGAATAATTTCATTTAAAGCGATATTTCATTTGATATAAGTCAATGTTCGATGAAGAAGAACTAACCATCCAATCGATCTATAATTCTGATGATTTTCTCTCCAATACATATGGTATGAAGTTTAACTCATATGTTTGTTCATATCTCATATTGTATTATCTTCCTGTTTATGGCCATTTAGGCACAAAGCATTTTTGGAGCTGAAATAAAATATGTTTAGCTGGCTTCCTCCTAGACTTTGAGTAGTGTAGTCAAAAGAATTATAATAGGATCCCAATTAATTTCATGTGTTTATATGTGATGTGACCACACGCATGCACCGCCCATATATTCCAAAGCGTGTTGGCTTTACAGTTAATTGGGCGACCTCATCATGTGATGTGATGTGGTGTGTGAACACAAAAGCTTGTATTAAATTTTGTAGGGGGTTTCGGCAGCGACACATGCTTGCTGGGTTGAGTTGCCATGCACTTTCTCAACAGCCGAGATTTGGAACGCAAAACCACAAATTTATAGGAGGATAAGTTGAGTTGTATCTCACTTATCAACGATAATATTGCTTAGTCAATACTCTATCAAGACGTTGAAAAATAGGAGCCATCAAATATTAATTCTAATTAGTTTGGCTACTTTAAACTTTTGTATTGATGTCCGAAGATGAATACCACTTAAAAAGTGGGTCTGCTTTTGGTCGCGTGTGTCCTACGACGGGTACAAAATGAATTTGCAAAGGGACAGAGAGAGTGCAACGATAGGATCTTAGGTATCTGTGTGATATTAGTCGAAAGCTCTCTGATATTTAAGTTAGCTTAAGGATGAAGTCAGTAAGTAATTAGATAGAATAAGGGTACCTTATTTATAGAGGAAAGAGGTGGAGCACCTTGGGTTATTATTTCGATGTGGGATCATTGACATCGCTTGAAGGGCTGCCATTTGTCCTAAATGGAAGTGGCATGACATATGCCTTCATTGGGCTGGATCGACAAGTGAGATTGTTGAAGGCTAATCCCTGCGGATTGTGAACCCTGGTGAGTGGGCTGGGCCTTGTTAACCTTTAATTAAGAGTCATCCGTACTATGTATTCTGATTGAGAGGGTCTGGTCAGATATGATATAAAAAATATGCATGGCCTAGAATGTACACATACATATATATATATATTGTCCACTACTACTCTAGGAATAAAGACATCGTTTGGTGGCTCGAGCTACATTGAATTATAATTGAGTTCAAGTGACTTCTTAGAGTCATATTCTTTTAGATTAGACTTGTACGACATAATATGTTGTCCAATTTAATACGTGCAATCTCATCATTTATAAATTCACCAAATAACTATTTTAATTGAAATAATATAGTTTAAATCTAGCCACCAAATTTTGTTCATATGAATATTGAGATATGACACTTAGATTCCAAGGAAATTCTCACATGCATATATAACTTCCTTTTGTTCACGAGTCATTATTTAGTTAGAATTTTAGTTCCTTACTTAGTTAGGTTTTTTGTTACTTATCATTTTATTTAATTCTATTGTAATTGAGATTTATTTACCATTGAGATTTATTAATGAGACATTAGTCATCTTACAAAAATGGTATTGTCGCAAAAAGAAAAAAAAAACAAAAAACAAAATACTAGTCAAATAGGGCTACTGGGATAGATTTACAAGCTGACGTCTATGGTAAGAAAAAGAAGCCTTTTTAAACCCCTACTTTACTCCATCTCCCACATGCAGGGGTTGACCCAGAATTCCAGATATCATTCTCTTCTCTCTCTCTCTCACACGCACACACACACACATACGTGCACATGGGAATCGCACAGAAATAGACTAAATAATTATGATCAAACAAAGATAAAGGAAATTGTATTGGAAAGATGGATTGACAGCACTTTGATTAATGATGATGATGATGATGATGATGATAGCTAATTAAGCAAATCAAGTCCAGAGAGACTCTCTTTTAAGAGGGTCTTGGATTACATTGCTAGAAGAAGCAAAGCTGCTGAAGTATTGATGTGGAATGTTATTGAAGTCACTGTTGGATAAAAGAAGGGACTTCTGATCATGATCATGATCTTGATGATGATGATTATGTTGATGATCTATCTGGTTGGGTAGGGCTACAGGCTCCTGCTGCATCTGGATGCAGAGTATCTCTGCCTGAGCCACAGCAAGCTGCATTTGTAGCTGAGAAACTTGGCTCTGCAGGAAAGATATTGCCCCTACGCACCCATAAACCGGGTCTCTCACTCTTGCATTTGCTTCATAAACCAAACTGCTCACAGCATCTCCTCTTTGATGAATCGGAAGCTCCTGGTTATCAGAGAATAATAAGTCAACACACAAGTACATGTAATTAAACTTTATTCACACTCAGCACTTGTGCTTATGCACTCCTATGGATGAGTGCAAATAACACTGTCATTAGATGGCGTTGTTATTTGTAGTACTCTTTCACAGGAGCGTACGAAAGAAGTGTAGATAGTGTTTCTCTTAGAATTAATCAGACGTTTAGAGAGAGGGAAAAAAAGAAACCTGCAACATTTTGCTGACATTGCTAGCACCAAAGACCTTGTGAACAAGGGCAAACTTATGAGGGTCATCAGAAGGGAAGTAAGGGGCAAAGATGCAGTCCTTGGCGCAGCGGCGCCTCAACAACTTGCAAGAAGCACATGGAGAAGTTCCCCCCATTAATTTCACTCCAAGAAGAAGAACTCAAAAAAGAAAGTTTTTCCCTCTGAAGTGGTACGTAATTAAGCAAAGCTAGAAGTAGTACTCGTAGAGAAAACCAAAAACAAAAGGAAGAGCTTGGTAGTGTTCAAGCCAGAGAGCTGAAATTGCATATTTATATTAGTTCGAGGTCGGCCGCCTAGGGTAAGAATGGTTCCCACATGCTTCATCATTAAAATAATATCAACACATTTAAACAACGGCAATCAAATGCATAGACTTGAAAACACTGGAATCTGGATATTCCCAACTAGACAAATTAGCAATTTCGTGTGTGAAAATTACAATTCTGGCAAACAAGGCCATGGTTTTGAGATGTGATTAGCAAGGGCAATTGGGTCATTTTACTGCATTTTATGCAGGGGAATAGATTCTTCTGCTAGTTGTCCACCGCCTTGGCGCGTGAAAGGTATGATATATTTATATACATGTACATGCACATAGGTTGGCAAAAGCCATGCAGTTGTAATTATGTACTTCTCACGTTCTGGTTTGACTCTTCTTTTTCTGGCTTGTGCTGCACTGTGTATGGGTTTGAGCAAAACCGAGTAAGAGAAGGGGAACAATGGAAAATGTGATTAATTTTATGGAAGACGAATATTAAATTGGAGATAATTTAAAAGCCATTGATTAGGGGAGAGAAAAAGGCTTGGTTAATTATTAGGGTTTTATAGTAAATACAACATGAAACCAATGGGAAACCCTAACCGGGACCAACACACCAAGAGAGATGGACTCAACGTGAATGTTTGTTGGCAGACATTCACATGGAAACATACATTTCTAACTTCTCTCTCTCTCTCTCTCTCTCTCTCACACACACACACACACACACACACACAGAGCCCCAAACGCCTACCTTTG